AGTATACCAACAATGACGAGACGTGGTCCGGAAAATGATAACGAAATGCCTGCGAAATGCGGACATGATCATGGTGGACCTCGTGAAAACAGCATGAAACCAATTATTTTGCCATTTAAATTTATGGGGTGGCCAGTGTGATATCTGTCACTATATGGACTATACATCCGATTATATTGATTTTGAAAAGAGAGATACATTTTATTTCGAGGATTACAATTTGCCAGCATTTTTCAGTCCCGAACCGTTTTCAGTATACATTCTAATTTTGTCGACTGTCATTATGACAACGGGCGCTGTCTACTTGTTCTTAAGGAAATACAGTTTGGACGTATACATGATGCATCTGGTGTTGATGTTAACTGCACAATATCGATACATCGCGATAAAACTGACATTATTATTTCAGAAACCACAAGACGACAATAAAAACTTTCAAAAAAAGTGTCATCCTATGACAGATCAATGGGCGGAAAAGGAACTAAGAGCGTTATGTCAGCATCAAAACAATGTTTTGTTGTATGTGTTTTTAATATAATTATTTAAAAAAATAGAATACAATTATTAAGTAATAAAAAAATAATTTGAGAGAATGCTTTAATTATAGAGTTATAATTAAATGACAATGCTTTTAATAAAATACTACAAAAAATTATAAAAATTATAATATTAAAATTTTATTGCACATATTTCAATTTTTATAATAATCCTATAATTTTTTATAAATTTTAATATTTGATAAAATTTAATAAATTCATTGTTTTATGTCATTTATGTTTTGTTTTTATTTATTATGTAATATAATATTTGATAAATTCTATATATATATATTTTACATTCCGTTACAGCATATCAATTATGTTAAGGAAACTTCTGTCGGTGAACTTCAGTCTATTGTATCTTAATAGTGTTTTCCGCTTCTGCTTTTTAGGTATCTTAATGACCACAGTAGGTAACGAACATTGAATTCAGAAAAAAATAAAAAATAGAAATTAATTATTTAAAAAATTATGTTGTATTTAATAATAATTTTTATCTATTAACAAATCATGTTTTGTATTTGCTGTTTTTTTTTTTTATTTCCTTTAAGAAATTAACATTTGTGTTGCATGAATATATAAAAAAAGGACTATATATATATATAATCTGCTTTCTTATGATTTCTTTTTTAATTAAATTAAAATCAAAGAATTTATTTTTTATCTTATTATGTATTATTTTTAGATAAAAGTGTGATAAATAAAATAATAATATAATATAAATAATATAATATAAATAATAATATAATATAAATAATATAAATAAAATAATTTGCATTAGTAATTCAATTCTGAAATCAAAAAATATAAACAATTTATTTAAATTTATATATTCAAGAAATTTTTTAAGAGAATTGTATAATTCCCTTTTATTTCCAATTCTTTAACAAAATGTATTTATAAATTTTTAGATACCATCTTTAACATTCATGGAGGGAATCTCGATTCTTTCATTCGCAGCTGGTTCAATAATGCAATTCTTTCTGTTATGTTCTTCCGTCCAGACATTATCAGACGCGGTAAGATTTATATTATCACAATTATTTTTCCTTCATACAAGCAGTAATATTAATATCAAGGAGCAAGTTGTTAAATTTTATCCATATTTTACTATATTGCTAGAAATTTTTTATTATATTTTTGTTTATTAAAAAAGTTAAAGTACGAAAATATGAATAATTAATTATCAATAAACAAAAAAGAGTTATTCGTGTGTAAGCGGGCATAACTTTGCTTATTTATGAAAATGATTATAAAATATAAATATTCATATATTTATAAATATATAAATAATAATAAATAATATAAATATATGAATAATTATAAATTTATAAAATTCATATATTATAAATATTCATATATTTATAAAATATAAATATTGAAAAAAAAATTAAATAAAAAATAATATATACTAATAACTTTCTCTTTTTTTTACATATCACTTTTTGTATTAAATATATTTGTAACAGAGTACGGAAGTGACGGATAAAGCATTTAATGAAGGCTGGTATCAACTTAAATCATCGATACAACGTACATTCATATTACTAATATTGGCTAATAATTTGGAATGTAAAATTGCGGCAATTGATAAGTTCAATCTGTCTCTGCCCTCATTTATGGCGGTAAATTCTAATATACTTTATATAAAATTTGAAATTTCTTATATCACATTTTTTATGATAATATTTTAGATTATGAATCAATCATATTCAATCGCTCTTTTGTTTTTAAAAGCAAAATAAAAAAAGCATTGTGCACTTATAAATGTATTAGAGAGAATAGAGTAGAGAGAACAAATCAAAGACAAAAAAACAGTTAAGCAAAAATATTTCAAAAGAAATCTGTAAAGATAGATATATATGTTTTGCATGATAATTCAAGAAATATAAATATAATAAAAATGTTTTAAAATTGTTGTAAAATTGTTTTAAATATAATAATATAGTATTAAGTAATTTAATCTTTGTTTTTTATTAATCTTTTCTTTATTATTTTATAAATTGGAAATAAAAGATTATATCGGCATGTTTTTATGCCATAATATTTGTACTATTATTATTATTCTCTCCAATAAGAAAAGTATTAGTATATATGATTAAATATATTTTTATACTATTAAGAGTAAAATATATGAAAAAAATATAATATTCTGTACATATGGTAATGTTTTTCTATTAAAATCAACCATGAAGAAGAATAACAATTTGGTTAAATTTGATAGCTGTCTATGAAACTTTCAAATTATGATAGAGAATTTTACGGAATGCATTAAACAAATGATGCAAACAATAATAAAAATATTAAATATAAATAATAGTAATTGTAAAGAAATCTATATAAAAATCTATATGCTATCCAATAATCAGCGATCATTCATTAAGAATATTATTATAGTATGTACATATTATTACATGGCTGATCCAAATTAGCAAGTTTTAGAATCACAATCTATTTACAATCATTCTATTTAGAAATCTTTGTACTGACAATGAAAAATCTTATGAAATGTGTCGCTAGTGAGTACACATTTATGAAGAAGATATTTCAAGATATTTCATCCTGAATGTATATATAATAACTTCATAATTGACAATAACACACTATTGTTACGATAAAATTGCTGTATTTCATGAAAATAATTCTACCAACAAAACTCAATCTTCTAATATAATTCATCGAAACCATAAGTCATTCTAATATAATTCATCGAAAGCATAAGTCAAAAATATAAGTGTTTTATCGAAATTATAGTGGTTCAAAAAGTAAGCAGTAAATGTTGCTAATTTCGTAATTTGCTATTTAACTATTATTTATAGATCATTTATCAAAGAAAAAAAACTTACTATAATGATTAATCGGTACTTAATAGATAGAATTCATTAATTGCTCCATAATTAAGCTTGTCACAAAACATTTTGTGAAAATTTGTCCGTGATAAATTTTTGCAAATTAAATTATTTTTTAATTAACAATGCACGCGTCAGTCAAACATGTCAAATTGTTCTGCGACTTCTCTGAATTCTGGCAATTCTGCAATATTCGACAGAATGCCATAAGATAATTACTACTTCACAATATAAGATAGTAGTATAAGGAATTTAATCATCACATCTATATTTTTAGTAAATGAAGTGAAAGATGTATAGCACATTCAATGAATTATCATTTAGTACATCGCGACATTTAATTATAAACTACTACGTTTCCTTGTAATAAGACACAGAATCATTTAAAATTATTATCTATTCCTTGGAGAATATTTAAATTCTAAAATATCCACACACAGTGAGATTACAAATCGAGCGATGGAACAATACAAGAGAAATGTCATTGTTCGTCGTACGACTATAATATATTAATAATAGCCGGGCAGAAACAAAAGTTCAAGAAGAATGATAATTTCCTTACTGTATGTAGATGTAATTTTGAAATACCGATAGAGATATCATTTATTGTCACTCGCCCAAGAAGAAGCGTACGTGGAGACAGTGATTAATGCAACTACACAAATCTTGATTTTTATATACATTAGATTTACTAAGGCAGTTCCAATTCATCGAATAGTACAGCATGAGAAGAATAAATTTTCAAAATGTGAATATTTTAAACAATCGTGCGAACATGCTCTCGGGGAATTTGTTTCTTGTAGCAGCCGATGGTTTGCGGTTTCCATTACCGTGGCGCATACATAGCGCCGTCTGGTTAATTCAGCTGATTTACACGATCGCGTTGCTCACTGGAATAATCGTGACACCAAAAGAAAAAGCCTTGAAAGACGGTACTGTTGCCGTTGTCGTCAGCATCGAATCGTGTTTTTTGCTCACGCGTATTTACGTAAACAAAAAATTAATGCTATCACTGATCCAAAAAATGGACGATCTCTTGCAAACTACGGATGACATTATGGAGGATATTGTGAAGACTACTCTGAAACCAATAATAATGCCGTTCGTAATTTATGGAGCAGCTGGTATAATATCTATTACTATATGGACGTCACAACCGATTTTATTGGCTTTCGAGAAGAGTACTTTTTTTTATGTAGATTATAACTTACCAGCCGCTTTTAGCCCCGAACCGTTCTCAATAGGTGTCCTGATTTTTTCAATTGTCTTTATGACAATTGCCAGTGTGTATAGCTTTTTGAAGAAATACAGCGTGGACATATACATGATACACCTGGTGTTGATGTTAACTGCACAATATCGATATATAGCGATAAAATTATCATTATTATTTCAAAATTCAAAAAATCGCAACGAATCTCGAAAAGGACATCATTCGATGACAGATCGATGGGCAAAAAAAGAGCTAAGAGCGTTATGTCGGCATCAAAATACTGTTTTACAGTACGTATAATAGAAAAAAACATTTTTAAGATACTTTATTTATAAAATCGGAATGGGATATATATTTATGCTTTTAAAATATTCGTAAAATGATAAATCGCAACATTATTTAAATTTTATGTGATCTTGTGCATATTTTGTCATATTTCTAATGTCTAATATAGAGAATAATTTATTACTTTATGATTTACATTTTATATATATATTAATTTAATATTATATTAAATATTTTCTATATTTTATATATGCATTCCACGTTATGTTTCACCATATCATTTTTATTAAGAAAACTTCTGTCTGTAAACTTCAGTCTATTATATATCAACAGCGTCTTTCGGTTTTGTTTTATAGGTATTCTAATGAGTTCAGTGAGTATCGATAACAAACATTAAAACTCGAAGAGAATAAAGAATAAAAATGCTTATAAAGAAAAGTGCTTTAAATATTTAGTAATAATTTTATATCTATATTAAATAATTATGCTTTGTATTAGATTCTATTTGGAAAATTAACATTTACTTTAATAAATAAAAAAACACAATTTTTATATTTTCTAATATTGTTTCATATTAAATTGCGACTGCAAATTTTATCTTTTATTATTTTTTATTATGTATTATGTTAAAGTAACAGTACAAGTATTCCATTTAAAATTTAATTCTGAAATAAAAAGAACAATGCAATAAGTTTAAATAATTTATTTAATTTTGCATAAATAGGAAATTTTTTATTGAGAAAATGAGAAATATGAAAAAAGATTGTTTCTGTATTCTTTATTTAATTTTCTAACAAAGTGTACTTATTAATTTTTAGGTACCATATATGACATTCATGGAGGGAATTTCGGTCTTATCGTTTACAATGGGTTCAGTAATGCAGTTCTTTTTGTTATGTTCTTCCGTGCAAACATTATCAGATGCGGTAAGAGATTTATTTACATATTAAAATTATTTTGTTTTGTATAAGAATATTTTAATAATAAAATTAATCAAGCATAATAAAATTAATTAAATATTATGTATACTAATATTAGATATGTATACTAATTTAATGTATACTAATTTAAATATTATGTATACTAATATTAGAATGCAGTTTTTGTTATATATTTATTTATTAAAGAAATTTTTAACCTAATATAAAGAGTATCAAAGTGACGGATAAAGCATTTGATGAAGCCTGGTATCAATTTGGATCATCAATGAAACGTACATTCCTATTACTGATAATGGCTAACAATTTAGAATGCAAAATTGCAGCAATTGATAAATTCAATTTGTCTCTGCCTTTATTTATGACGGTAAATTTTAACATATATGTTTATTATTAATAATACATTTTATGAAATTATTAGTATTTTAATTCTCTTATATTTCTTGATAATATTCTAGATTATGAATCAATCATATTCGATTGCTCTTCTATTTTTAAGAGCAAATTGAAATAAAAAATACATCGCGCTGGTAAACAGAAAATAAGATAGAGAATGGTTATCAAAGATAAAAATTAAGAAAAATTATTTTAAAAAAGAATCTGTACAAATCCGTTTTGTACAATAGTGTAGAGAATATAGGTGTAATAAACATAATATTCAAAGATGTTTAAAATTATGATAATATTAAAAAAGAAAGAAATTTAACTTTTGTCTTCTATTAACTTTTCTTTTTCTTATCTTTTCTTAAATTGGAAAATAAATTACTACACTTGGAGATAATTTGTTATGTTTGCAATATTTATAATACTTATTCTCTTCAGTGAAAAAAATATAAGCATATGTGTAATTCAAATATGTGATTGATTTTAATAATATTATCTTCATATATTAATCATCGCATATTATTGCGACAGATATGTATTTGCCAATTCCTTTATTTCTTTTTTGCATTTTGAAACACAAGTAATATCTAAATTAATATTTATCTAAAGTTAAAATGAATTGTTGATAATAATTAATTCTATACATATATTTGCAAATTTTTACTCAATAGAAAAATTAAAAATTATTAAAATCTACAGAATGATACTTAATAAAAAATATTAACTTTTAAAAATTTTAAAACAAAAATTTCGGTAGAAGTGCATTGTAGAATAAAATTTTATAAGAATTCTAAAGTTATTTTTACCTATTCTACATGCACATGAGAGATAGTCTTTATTGGAAGATAGCTTTTACCATCTTTACCAGAACTTTTCCTATATATAAAAATTAAAATCAATTATAAAATTTCAATTTGTAATATAAAAAAAAATTTATCGTTATGAGTCAAAATTACTATAACGTTTCTATGCGCAACAATTTTGTTATTCATTACTTGAGCTTGTTTGCTATCTTAAGTTAAGAGTGGTTTTATTAAAATATATTATCATTAAAAATATTAAAACGCATCATTAAAAATATTAAAACATTAAAAATATCATGTTTGTGTCTTAATTTATCAATTAAATGAATTAATCTTATTAACAGGCAATAGAATATTCAAAAACAGTAATAGAATATTGTATAAAAAAAGGAGAATTTTTTTTACCTTAAATATATCCTGCGATAACTATACAATCGTTTATTTCGTAATATTTTGCTAACGTTATTTAACTCATAATCGGTGTAAAATAACAACTGCAGTTTCCAGCTGATGGAGCTTACAATGGACAGCATTACACATCATAAACATATTAAAGCTTCCTCGCGATACTAGGAGAGACAGTATACTATAAGATAATTACCGCTTCGTTGCACAGAGGTAGTTGCAAAGGAATTAGTGATTACATCTATCTCGTACTAAATACATTAAAAAATATAACTCTACTTTCATTTTATCGTTCTGTATCATTATCTTCCGATGCACAATAATTGGAAGACAAAGATTAATAATTAGAATAAAGAAACTATCGCTGTTTTTGTAGTGTAATATATAATATATAAAATAATGAATTTTTTTTGCCTGTTTTCCTCTATTCATCTTGAAATAATGAATTGTTGGATATGTCATATGCTATTCAGCAATTTTGAAATATAGAATAAACAAGCCACGCTTTCTATCTACAAAAAAAAAGAAACATTTGCAGTGGCAAAATACGATAAAAGGCTTAATGTGAATACTAACAAGCTTTCTTACAAGCTATGTTTGCCTATATAATTTTCATTTCTTAAAAACAAGCGACAATCAAGAAGATGGACTTCCAAAACGTGAATCTTCTAAATGTTCGATTGAACATGTTCTCAGGCAATTTATTACCAATGACCAGCAATGATTTGTTGTTTCCTAAAACATGGAGAATATATAGCGTTGTTATATCGTTAATTGATTTGTTCTATATCAGCGCAATAATCTCCGGATTTATTTTGGTATTAAAATATGAATCTATAGAAAACACTGTGCAGGATGGCGTAACAATCAGTCTCGTGGTGATCATTGAGGTATTTGTTTTACTTATGCGTATGCACATATCCAGAGATTTAGTAATTCGATTAATCCAAAAACTGAATGACATTCTACACTTCGAGGATGAGACTATGAAGTATATCGTGCATTCGACTTTGGATCCACTGAAGATTCCTCTCCAATTTTACTGCATAGGCGGAACTGGATCCGTAGTAATGTGGTGTTGCATTCCGTTCGCACTGATCTCAAAGAAGATCTACTTTTTCTACAATGATTTTGCAACGATAGCAGCCTTTTCGAAACAGTCGTTTTCTACAAAAATCTTCCTGCTTGGTGTTCTTATAGAATCTATTGCCAGCGGATGCATATTTATTAAAAAAGTCGCTCTGGATGTCTATATGATAAATCTTATATTATTAACAACGGCATAATATCGATACATAGCGATAAAGCTCGCTAAAATATTTCGCAATGACACTTCACCGATTTAGCACAATAAATCTCAAAAAGAACTCTAATGCAAATTTGTCGTCGGAGAAAGAAATGAAAATATTATATCAACATTATAAAGCTGTGATTCAGTAAGTAATTAAGAGTTCTTTACTTTTACAAGTTGTTATTTTGTGCGTACTTGTTCTTGTGTCTAAATTTTTATTTCTAAATTGTATTTTTCAAAATTAATTTTTTCTTTACATCCCCAATACTTAATTGTTTAATTATCATTTTATAAATATTTATTATTTTCTTCAGGATAATGTTATTATTAAAAAAATGTATGTCGTCAAACGTGAGCATGATATATCTTATTAGTGTCTTTCTTTTTTGTTTTATTGACGTCTTATTGATACAGGCAGTGAGTTATATCTTAGAAATACTTTTTAAGCGATTGAAAATACAGAAACTTTTGATATATAAATTTTCGAATTTATTATGTGTATATTTCTTAATTATATTAACGATATAGAAAATATTAATTTTAGATATTATCGAAGGCTTTCTTCACAATATTCTTATTCATAATATATGCGGTTCTTTAATACGACTTTATATTCTATGTCTATGCATTCATCAATTATTAGATGCGGTTATTTTATTAACATTATAACATGATTTCTCTCTATTTAACAACATTTATAATTTTTAAATAATATTGAAATTCTTGCAAAATTTATTTTTTGTATTATGAAAATTAAATAATATATCGAAATGTTGAAATAATTATGCAATAATTATTTATATTTTACAATTATATAATTGTAATTATATATATAATAATAATTAAAATTATATATTGAAATTATCATTGAAATTATATATTGAATATTGTGTATGGAAGAGTGAAATCATTTAATGTTTTTATTAATATAGTTGTACTTATATGGACACATTTATTCTATATTAATCTGTGTCAAATTTAGAATAGAGAAGTGACAGATAAAGCATTCCACGAAAAGTGGTAACAATTTGGACCGTTGGCGAAACGCATGTTTATATTAATAATAATTAGTAATAAATTGGAATGTAAACTTTCAATGCTTGGAAATTATAACGCTTAACCCTTCCTTCATTCATGAAAGTAAGTCTTAATATATTATTGTGTTAAATATATGTTATAATTAATTATTATGATTACTATTTAAATTACCAAATTAAAATTAATATTAACTATAAATATTGACTATACCATGACTTAATATCGTAAATGAATTTCTTTTCATTGTCTAGTCTATCTTAATGCGATTTATATTTATTTCTTATTATTTGTATCTTATATTATTTTAATATAATTTTTCAGCATATTTTAGATTTCTTTTGACAAATTTTCAACTATTGTTCCAGATTCTGTTCAATCCTATTCAATCGCTCTTCTGTTTTTAAAAGTAAAGTGAAAATTAATAAACTTTAAATTTCTGGACTTATAGTGTTGGATATTGAGTCTATATATTTGTCTAATTAGTAATTTAAATAACTATAAGCATATGTTAAAATTTATATATTTTTTGTTTTAACAATGAAAAGATTTTATAAAGAAAGAATAAAGAAGTTTAATATAGAGATATAAATGCGAATAGAAGATTGATATAGATATTAACGAAATATATAAATGTTTTTTATAAAATATGTACAAATTATTTATATCACCAAAAATCAACACTATTAATCTTAAAAATATCAATCAACTTTGCAAATTGATTACAAGAATATCAAGTGAATGAAAAACGTTAAGAACATATAAATTTTCAAAATATGAATTTTAATATAATCAAGCAAACATACCTTCACTTCAGTAATACTGATAACATTTGAAGTCGATTCCGATATAGCAGATATTCATCTTGCACTGTTCTATACCATGGCATTAATACTTGAGCTTATATTGTTATTGAAGGAAAAACATTGAAGAACAGGATCATCATCATCATGGTCATCACAGAGTTATATCTATTTTATAATGATAAAAAAATTTACTACAATTGCTGTGATCAAAACGAAATATTTCGAAATATTTTTTAGTAATATATACATACATTTTTTAAAAATATTATTTGATGATATCAGCACTATTGAATCCAGGTTATAATTAATCGAAGATTAATTTTTAGTATCTCGATCAATAGTGTATCACATAGAATAAAATATTGCAGTGCCTTCTGAATTCAAAACTACAATAAAGGTTGCTATAAGATAATTAATGCTTTATTAGAACAAGAATAATTACAAAGGCGCTTAGTCCACTCCCTCAGTCTTGTCCACTCCCTCTAAGATTAAAAAGGATCATAACATATCATAATCTCCTCAGAAAAGATTATACAGTGAAGATTATTCATAAATTCTTTTATTTCTTTAGAATAGAGTCTGTAAACAAAAGCTTGCTATTAATGAAAATTGATTTATCGCGCATTCATTGTAGCGCAAAAATCAATAATTTTTACAAATTAAAAACAATGTTGCTGTGCATGTTTTATGCATATTATAGTATAAGCTATATGAATAAGTAAAAACTCAAGAAAAATATCGTTCAAGATTGACGACTGCTTAGAACTAACTTTCGTTATATTTTATGTATTCTTCTGACAAAAGATTATGCTTAATAATGGACAGATCTCAAACGGAGATAAATACAAATATACAATTGAACAAATTTATGCACTAAAAGCAATTGTTACTTTTTAACTAAATATATTTTTAGTTTAAATAATATCTTAAAATATAAATTTCCTCAATATATACGTATAACAAAGAGAAAAATATTAAAGAGGACTTTGGCAAGCTGTACTTTGCACACCGTATCACCTCCTCAAGGAACAACGGCATGAATTTTCAAAATGTAAATCCTCTAAACGTTCGATTAAATATGCTCTCAGGCAATTTGTTACCGATGACTAACAACGATTCCACGTTTCCTTCCGTGTGGAGAATATACAGGGTGTCCCATTTAACTCGACACATCGAAATATCTCGTAAAGTCTAAAAGATACGAAAAAATGTTTCAGACAAAAGTTATATGGTTTCAAAGGGGATATAAGGTGGTGTTATTAGTTTGACCTTGAAGAGCCTCCTGAAGGTCACGTGAAGGTTACCTCCAACTTTTTAAATGGGACACCCTATATGCTTTTGCATATTCTTGTAGCTCATCTCAAGAGCTTTCCAAAATACTATAATTAAGTTAGTTTTCATTAAATACTTTCCAAGTTATGAGGCTTGAAATCATTTTTTAATTTTACATAAACCGTAAAATATCTTGTAAAATATTCATTTTTCGATTATTTTATCTTAATACTTTTATGTACAAAATAATGAGAAGAATCAATTGATGTAAAGAAAACACATAATTGTTTCGAACAAAAAAATGTAATTGTTAATTGCAAATTGTACACAATGCATGTACACAGATCGCTTGTAAGTCAACTAATACGCAAGTTAAATGATATTCTGTGTATCGAGAACGAGACCATGAAGATTATTGTTAAATCAACTATAAAGCCAGTAGAAACTCCGCTCAAGTTTTACTGCATAGCAGGAACTGGATCTATAACAGTGTGGTGCTGTCTATCTTTCGCATTGATTTTCAAGAAAAAATATTTTCTCTATGAGTATTATAGATTACCAATTGTCCTGACAGCTCGAGACAGCCGTTCTCGATAGAAAGTTTCCCTCTTGGGAAACTTCATCGCGTCCATCGCTAGCGTGTACATGTTTATAAAGAAGGTCGCTTTGGACGTTTATATAATAAATCTCATTTTATTGATAACTGCCCAATATCGCGATGAAACTTGCAATACTACTTTGGCTAAGGCCTTTCACAGAATAAGTCTAAGAAAAAAAAATATTTTTCCTGAAGATTCGTTAGAGAGGGAATTAAAAGTATTATGTCGACATCATAACGCTATGATTCAGTAAGTAATCAGTGAACATTCTGTAATTTATTGTTTTATAAAATTGTTGTTTTACATATTTTTAAAATTATTCTTTCTTAATTAATATCATTATTAAAAGATAATTGTTTAATGCTTGATAAACATCTATAAGAGATTCATCATATCACGTATGATTTTAAATATATATCTTATCATCTTATCTATACATATAATCAAATATAGATTAAATTTAATCTTTTTTAGAATGACTTTAATGCTAAAAGAAGTATTATCTGTAAATATGAGTTTATTATATTTGACAAATATTTTTCTTTTTTGCTTTCTCAATATCATGCTTATAAGTGCGGTAAGTAAATAATAACAATTAATTATTTTAGAAATGCTTTTTAAACGATTATAAGAAATACACGGTAAAAAACATTTTGTATTTCTGTTAAAATTTTCTCGTGTAAAATTTTTGTGTTAAATTTTTAACATACTCTTATTAATGTTACATATTATCATTGCGTTAATGTAACATATTATTATTGCGTTATTTTGACATTTCTGCGTTGAGTTAATGTTCACTGTTTCTAAGAGTTAAAACAACACAATTAATATATAAATGCACGAATTCTTGATGAAATATGTTATATGTTAAAATAAACAAATAAGTTGTGTCATTTTTCTCTCTATAACAGTTTCCATATGTTAAATATACATATCTCTTGTGTTATTTATCATAAAAATGTAAGAATAACATTTTCTTTTAATTAAATTTAACATTATAAATATGTTAATTTAACATAAATTTCATTTCCAGATAAAGTTAATAGATAAGTGTTACACTTTTGTGTTAATTTTTAAACATATTACTTGTGTTATTTATTTACATACTTGCCTTCTGTTAAATTAACATTAAAATTAGAGTGGATAAATTAGGACATGTGAAATATGTTAAATTTAACACCAAATTTTTACTGTGTGTGTATGTAACGTTATTGAATTATTAAAAATATTTTTTTACCAATATAATATATATACAGGGTGATTCAAAATAACCCCTGTGTCCGTGAAATGACACATTGTTGAGTCAATTCTAAGACGATTTTTCCTTTTGCAAAATTTCGTCCGAAGCTTAGTTTTCGAATTATTAAAGAAAGTAGTTAACGCATGACGGGTCGGATACAAGAGGCAGGCAAATGTAACGCGATTCACCGTCAGACGCGGGCGCTTACGCGGGGTGCTTGCTGCGATCAGCTGGTCGCTATACACATACAAACACATATACGAACACATACATTCTCTCTCTGTCTGCTGTCTGTCTGTCTGTCTGTCTCTCAATTTTTTGTCATAGTAGATTGCGATAGGTTAAGGTACTACTGGCGCTATCGAACGCGATCATGTATTCGATTGAAGAATGCGGTAAACATAATAAACATTTAACATATTAATATTATTGCTACCGCAATCTACTATGACAAAAAACTGCTTGCAGTCGCCGAGTAATTATCGTCGCATTGTCGCGTCGTGTAGTAACGTGTCCGTGTGTGTTTCTTTTATTGAGTGATTTTTAATCGCCAACAGTTATTATTCGACAGTGATTAGTGATAGAGTCATTAGTAAATTTTTCGTCTCGTCGAGTGAGTAAATAAATGTGATTATGTTAAAGATTATATAAGGAATGCAGTTCATGAAAGAAGAAAAACTTTCAGTTAATAATTTAGTGTGGATTTCTGTCTTATGCAACGTGATATCTACGTTAAATTTGAGAACGTACGATCTATTGGAAAACTCATTTCTCCTTCAAGCAATTACAGCAATATATCAGAAGTAATCGAACAAGGTAATAATAACTATTTTTTAGCGTTATGTGAAAACGGATCTCGGGAAGGACAGTGTGTCAAAGAAAATTCGTGAAAAGAGAGGAGTTTTTAGTGGGTAAGGAGTACCGAGTTGGTAATTCGACTTGGAACTCGAGTCCCACATAACTCACTGGATCGACCGGTGGATATGCATAAAATGCATTTTCCTCTCTCTCGTAAAAAAAAAATTACAGGTGAGTGAGCAAATGAAAGAGAGAGAGAGGGGAGAGGGGGGAGAGGGGAGAGAGAGAGAGAGAGAGAGAGAGAATGTATGTGTTCGCATGTGTGTCTGTATGTGTATAGCGACCAGCTGATCGCAGCAGGCGCCCCACGAAAGCGCCCGCGTCTGACGGTGAATCGCATCACCCTTGCCTGCCTCTTGTATCCAACCCGTCATGCATTAACTACTTTCTTTAAGAACTCGAAAACTAAGCTTCGGACGAAATTTTGCAAACGGAAAAATCGTCTTAAAATTGACTCAACAATGTGTCATTTCACGGATACAGGGGTTATTTTGAATCACCCTGTATATATATATATTTTTTTTAATACACAAAAAATATTTAAAAAAATAGTTGAATACACGTAAAAATTTGTTAGGTATTATCAAAAAAGCTCCTTTAAAAACATGTATGGTCATCATGTATATATGCGGCGGATTAGTACAGCTTTATATTCTATGCTTGTGCGTTATATTCTATGCTTTCACCAATTATTAAATGCGGTAAGTTTTATTGAAAAATCACATCTTTTTTACATAATTTAAATATAAAACTTAAAATAATGATTATATAAAAAGAAGAAGACTATTACTCATTTCTAACAATTGAAAATGGAAGATATCAGCAAGATAAATAAATAAATAAATATATACATATATATATATATATATATATATATATATATATATATATACAGGGTGAGGCATCTAAAACAGGCCACCTGAATAACTCCGTTGGTAAGCCGAATACAAAAAAATTGTTCAGACAAAAGTTGTATGATTTCAAGGGGGACATATGATGGTGTCATTAGTTTAATCTTGAAGAGCCACCCGAAGGTCACGTGAAGGTCAGCTCCAACTTTTTAAATGGGACACCTTATATGCTTTTGCATATTCTTGTAGCTTATCTCAAGAGCTTTCCAAAACACTATAATTAAGTTAGTTTTCATCAAGTACTTTCCAAGTTATGAGGCTTGAAATCATTTTTTAATTTTACATAAACCGTAAAATATCTAGTAAACCATTCATTTTTCGATTATCTTACCTTCATACTTTTATGTACAAAATAATGAGAGGAATCAATTGGTGTAAAGAAAACACATAGTTGTTTCTAAGAAAAAATATGGAATTTGCAATTAACAATTCCATATTTTTTGTTAAAAACAACTGTATGTTTTCTTTACACCGATTGATTCCTCTCATTATTTTGTACATAAAAGTATTAAGGTAAAATAATCGAAAAATGAATATTTTACAAGATATTTTACGGTTTATGTAAAATTAAAAAATGATTTCAAGCCTCATAACTTGGAAAGTACTCAATGAAAACTAACATAATTGTAGTGTTTTGGAAAGCTCTTGAGATGAGCTATAAGAATATGCAAAAGCATATAAGGTGTCCCATTTAAAAAGTTGGAGCTGACCTTCACGTGACCTTCGGGTGGCTCTTCAAGATTAAACTAATGACACCATCATATGTCCCCCTTGAAACCATACAACTTTTGTCTGAACAATTTTTTTGTATTCGGCTTACCAACGGAGTTATTCAGGTGGCTTGTTTTAGATGCCTCACCCTGTATATATATATATATTTATGTATACATATATAACGAAAAATAAAGTCTTGTGATTGATAACTGTGATCTTTTATGTATCTTTTATGTATTTTTGTTTTAAATTTAGAGTACAGAACTAACAGAAAAAGCATTTCATGGAAAGTGGTATCAATTTGAACCATCACTGAAATATATATTTATGATGATGATAATATCCAATAACTTAGAGTGCAAACTTTCAACTTCTGAAAAATTTAATTTATCTCTTCCTTCTTTCATGACGGTAAAATTTATAAAATGTATATTGTGAATACGTTAGACATACCGACGTTTAATTATTTTTATTAAATTTATAATAATTTACTTAAATTTTAATTCTATCTTTGACAATATTATTATTATTTTAATTTATTTCCTTTTTTTGTTTCTTTAGATTTTAAATCAATAATATTTACTCTTCTATTTTTAAGAATAAAATAAAAATTTATAAGGTACGTTTTTTATTTATTTTAAATATATTGTGCCATAACCTTTTTATTTTAAAATTGCTACTTAATAATCGTGTAAAATTTTTATAATTTATATATTATATATGTCATATAATTTTATTACATAATTTTAATATAATTATATTTTATATATGTTTATATTGTATAACAAAATAATTATTATATTTATGTTGCTAAATGCATCTAATATTTACATTTTTTTAGAACAGAAGATAAGAGATATATAGCAGAAGAAAATAAAAAAGTTAATTAGGAAATACATACGACATGCATTTTGCTACTTACTTGCATTAAATTAAATTATATTTCTTTCTCTATTTCTCTCTCATAAAAGCATATTATGTCAATATTCCAAGTGTATTGTTGCCTTCTTTCCATAATGCGTATTGACTGTTGATATAAATAATATTCAGTTGTCAATGATTTTGTTAAAAGGATCCGTAATGCATATTGACTGTTGATATAAATAATATTCAGTTATCAATGATTTTGTTAAAAGGATCTTTAGTCTTTTTATGTATGTGCATCCAGTAAAATAACGCAATATATTTTGCGCAACAGTTATTGAATATAATAAACATTATTATAACATATATTATTTTTTATCCTCAAATTAGATGCCGACTAGCAAATTTTCTAGAAATTATTTATCAGAATCGATTTATTATCCATAGGTATGTGAAAAATTTATAAATACCTACATAAAACTATTATAAAACTATTATAAAACTATTATAAAACTATTATAAAACTATTATACATTCAATCGACAAACTCTAATGAATAAATTCATAGATTTATTTACAGTAAATATTTTACTGTTTTCCATTGTTTAAGCACTGATGAAATGATGACATTTAATAGTCCTTTGCAGTTTTGCGATGTGTATATAGTAGACAAAATACTATAAGATAATGATTCAGAAAAGCATATAGTCTACAATTACAAGAAAATCAATAGTCCTACTCATCTCTATAATAAATATTTTGGTCTTCATTTCTTTACATCATATCACTTATTTATTAACTTTTACATAGTAGATAATTAAAATTCGCTTTCTCATAATAGAAAATTCTGTATCCTTTGTCTGGAATCTCCTTACATATTTATATGATATTCGAGTATACAATAATTACAGAATAAACCTGATAATTATAATGAAAAGAGCGAAATGTCATCGCTTGGCGTTGACATCTTTATTAAATAGTAATTCAAGAGGAAAATACAGTTCTTTTGAATTTGAAAAGGTGGATAGGACATATGCACTTGACAAGGCAATATGAAATAGTATAAATCCAAATGAAGAGAGTATCACATTGATTCCGAGCGACGATATTGGAAGAACCAACATGAATTTCCAGAGTGTGAATCCTCTAAATGTTCGATTGAACTTATTCTCGGGCAACTTATTACCGATGACTAACTACAATTCACCTTTTCCATTATTATGGAAGATGTATAGCATGTTTGTGTGGATAATCGAATTGATCATAGGTGCCACATTAATTCCGGGGTGCATGTATGTATCGACGGAGAAAGTTCTGAAGGACGGCATGATTTGCTTTGCAGTCTTTATAGAAATGACTTTTTTGATCGCGCGAATTCATATTTATAAGAATGTGGCGCATCAATTAATTCGAAGACTGAATGATATTTTGCACGTTGCTGACGAGACTATGATGAGCGTCGTGACGGCGACTCTGAAACCGGTGGAAGCTCCGCTCAACTTTTACTGGTCGATCGGTGTGATATCGATAATAGCGTGGACTTGTATACCGCTTGTATTAGTATTCAAGAAGAATCTTTTCTACTATGAAGATTATAGGATACCTGCCGCTTTCTCGAAACAGCCATTCTCACTCGAGATCTTCCTGCTGGGCAGTGTATTCTTAATGGTCAGTGCTGTATATATGTTTTTACAGAAAGTCGGTGTGGATGTATACATGATACATCTGGTGTTGATGACAACGGCGCAATATCGATATATTGCAATGAAAATTGCAATGATATTTCATGCAAATGATGAAGATAACAAGGAGTACTCTTCTGAATTAAATCAAAGGCAAGAAAGGGAATTTAAAGTGCTATGTCGGCATCACAACTCCGTGATTCAGTAAGCATTATAAAATTGAATCAGTGACTTTTCTAGCTTCCTAAATATAACATAATAACATAATAACATATAATAACATAATAACATAATAACATAATAACATACAATAATAATAAAAGCACGTGGGAGGAGATAAAAATTAGTACTTATATAAATAATTTATTTATTTAATAAAATTTTTAAATTTTCTAATTTTTCTTTGTGTATATTTGTATGAGTTAATTTTTAAATTTATTAATTATGACTTATTCTTTTTTAACTAATTTCTTATTATTTCATAAATGCTCTGCATATATATATCATACATTGTTTCAGTATAACTTCGTTACTAAAAGAACTGCTTTCTTTAAACTTCAGTTTAATTTACATGAACAGTGTCTTTCGATTTTGTTTTATCGGTATCATGTTAAGCATGGTGAGTAATAATTGTTAACATTAATCATGTAGAAGATTTTTTCAGATGTTATAAAATGCAGTAATTGCGCAATATATTATTGAATTTTCATAAATATTTATTACTTATAATGTTTTTATAAAATTTTAGATACCATCCACAACATTCTGGGAAGGGATTTCAATCATCATGTACGCATCAGGAGCAGTAGTACAGCTTTTTATTTTGTGTTCTTGCGTGCAACAATTATTAGATGCGGCAAGTTTTATTATATTTCGTTTTATTTAATTGTAACATAGAACTTTTTAAATTAATGCGAGATTTCTCTCAATTATATATTTTTTAATAAACTTATTATACCTATTTCTTTATTCTAACAGACAGCTGCAAGAAAACTAACAAATCAATTTTAATTTAAATTGATTTGTGAATTTAAATTGATTTGTAAATTTAAATTATATATAAACAAAATAATTAATAATTTTACAAATTACAGATTGTGATTAACAATTATTGGTAATTGTGCATAAAATGGGTCTCCTTTCCGATTTACTTTATTTTTAAATATGTTATAGGGAAGATCTTCCCGAGTAATTTCGTATACACACACACACACACATATATATATATATATATATATATATATATATATATATATATATATAAGAGACTCAAATAGTTTTGAAGATATAGGCTGAAAAAGGATAAAAATAATAAATATAAAAATTCGCGTGGAAAGTCGCAAATAAATGTAGATATTATAATTTTACCATGTCATATATGTATAAGGAAATATATTTAATAGAATATATGTATTTGTAAACTTTGCTTTTTCTTGCAAAGTACATGCGGAGACACCGCATGTTCCGCCCCCTTCTACTTTCAGAAGATATAACCTAATTCAATCCTGTGTCTGAAGTGTAGGAAATACCTTGATACATATATGACATTTCGCATTATATGGTTTATATGGTTTATATAAGTTTGTAACTTTCTATGCGAAGCCAGATATATTCTACACTTCAGACACGGGTTGGGTTAGGTTATATCTTCGGAAAGTGAAGCCCCTCCCATAGGGGAGGCAGAACATGCAGTGTCCCCGCATGTACTTTGCAAAACAAAGCAAAGTTTACAAATACATATATTCTATTAAAATTATTTTTGAATTTATTATTTTTATCCTTTCTCAGTCTATATCTCCAAAACTATTTAAGTCCGACCCTTATATATATATATATATATATATATATATATATATTACTCGAAATTACTCGGAAGATCTCCCCTATAACATATTTAAAAATAAAGCAAATCGGAGAGAAGGCCCCTTTTATGCACAATTACCCAATTAGTTTTATATAAATTAATATTTTTGTGTAAAATATAGAGTACGGAAATAACAAATGAAGCATTTCACGAAGATTGGTATCTACTCAAACCATCGATAAAACGTACATTTATTTTAATAATTATGGCTAATAATTTAGAATGCAAACTAGCAACGTTTGAAAATTTAAACCTTTCTTTACCTTCATTTATGATGGTAAGTTTTTTATATATACACATATATATATATTTTTTTTATTTCTGTTATACTCTATAACGCCGTAGCATATTTTATCTTTAAAAATTATTCATTTTTTCAGATTTTAAATCAATCATATTCGATCTCTCTTCTATTTCTAAAAATGAAATGAAAAGTAATAAAAAATTTTAATTGCAGTAATTGTTTTATTTCTTTAATAGTTACACATTATATATTTATTACATATTTAAATTTATATTTATTATTGTTATATTACCCAAAAAATATTAACAAATAATATAAATATAAATAAATGGTGGAATGAACAATTTATTTATATTATTAAAATATTTGTCATTTTAGTAAAAAATAATAAATTTTAGTCAAATAATTATAGTCGAATAATTCTAGTTGAAAAATTCACGATTAAATTCGAATAAATTCGAAACAAATGCGATATATATATATATATATATATATATATATATATATATATATATATTACGATTGAAACTAGTATATACTAGTATATACTAGTATATATAATATATGTACAGCTATAGCACAGAAAACAATAAAAACAATCATTTATGACAAGATATTCATGTCTATGAAGTTTATTACAGTTTGTCTATATTTGGAAGGTTTAAATCTGTAATAAAAAGAGCGATAAAATAATCTGAAATCTAAAATAATCTGTATCGAGAAATGTATCATTTACTGCCATCAAATTTAATGATTAAAGATATATTAAAAATCTTTTTAAAAAAGAAGTTTTTAATTTTTTTTATTTTTTTATTTTGATATATAAAAATTTTTTGATAAATATAAATACTCTGTCTTTTCTTTGGTTTATTAAAAACATTTCTTATTAATGATATATGCAGCGTACTAAATACTTAAAGTAAGAGAGAATCTATTCCTGTAACGTTTCCCAAAATCGAATTACTCTCAATTTATGAATATGTTAAAGTTGAAAATAAAATTCAAAATATTTCATAAAAATAATACTAGTATAATATAATATGTTTAACAGATTAGTTCATTAAGTTTTTTGCATTTTGCATTTCTTTCTAATGTTGCAATAATCAATAGCAAGAAAATATGATCGTCATACAGATTTAATTATAACAATTTTTATAATTGCATTCCTAAAATGAAATCAATAAGTGCTTTAAAAATTATCTCTTATTTTATTACAATATTTTTTTATAAAATATATATTTTATAAACAAATATATATATATATATATATATATATATATATATATTTGCGTAAGAATAATGTAATAAAATGTAAAAACTTTTCTGACTTATCATGTATGGAGATACAGGGTGTAACATGTGGGACCCACTCAGGAATGAATAGAGGGCACACCAACAATGAAAAAAATTCATATTAACATATGTTCTATTTGACCTTGTTACAAAGTTATAAGACGTTTAATATTTAAATAATCGGCAAAAGGTTTCTTCGGAAATGGATAGGTCGGGGAAGACCTACTGCCTGGCCTGCTCGTTCCGCAGGATTTAAATCTATTAGATTTGTATCTATGGGACTACTTGAAAGTAATTGTGTATTCTGCACCCATTGCCAGTGTTGAAGTTCTACATGCACATATATAAGAAACTTGCTAATAGATCCGACATACACGACAGTCTTTGATACGGCGACTGCATGCTTGCACTCAGGCGGGGATAGCCATTTCGAGCACCTTATATGAATGTAACCGGTTGCCGGTTCAATTGAAAACTTATAAATATTTATGTAATATATAATTATATATTTATTCTACAATAGTAATAAAAATCTCTTTAGATTATTGAGTGTGTATCGAAATATATTTGAAAAATTATTGAGGTAATTAGTTTTTGACATATTTAAATAATGAGTTTTCTAATCTCATCGTCAGTATAATATAAAAATATTTTTTATTATACTTTAGATATCAACGAAAGTTTTGTTGAAAGAATCTCTGATTGTCATATATGCATTCGGTAAAATAGTGCAATTATACTTATATGTATACATATATTGTATTCTTACGCAACAGATAATAGATATGATAAATATTACTATAATATATAATATTTTATTCTCAAATTAGATTTACAAGTTTCGCAGATATTATCGATAGAATCGATTTATCATCCATGGATACGTGAAACTGCTTCTAAATAAGTAACAGTGTTTCACAATCGACAAATTCTAGTTCCAGCGTAGATATATCGTAGTTTGCCATCAATGATAGACTTCAGCTTCAATTCTATCGTTAGATATTGATGCTATTGCTTCAATAAACTTCGACAAACTTCTACAAACAGTTAATGACAAGCAATAAGATAATAATCGTTATATAGCTATAACTTACAATTAGTGCTAATTATAAGGAATTTCATGTTGTATTCAATTCAAAGTTAAATAACATGAATAAGATACTTTTTTAAATGGTGTTTTCTATCATGATATTTACATGTTATAAATAATAGCACAATGAGAACTTTTCTAAAGAATTTCTGAAAAATCCACGAAATTATTAATCATTCTCTGGTACGTTGTTTAGAAGAAGGCAATAACAAAAAAGGACTGTCGTTGATTGTAAGAGACGACGGCATGATATTATATATTAGTGGAAAATTGAAAAAGTTTTCAAAAGAGAAATCATATATAAATAATTAATAAATCGTTAAAATCTGTGAGAAGCTTTTATTACTAGCTTTCATAGCTTTGGTAAGTACTACACTTTGATAAAATATTATATGTAAAAGAAAATGCGAATGTAAAAATTCGTATGTAAAATTTCCCTTCGTACCTCACATATTAAAAGTGGTTGTTTGTTGTATTTCTGAAAAGTGCATATCTGTGGTAATAGCAACTAATAAAGCTCTTAGCTTATGAAAAACATTTTCCTTAAATATAATATTATTAATCAAAGATAACCAAAGAATTGTTAATGATAGTAAATATTGCTATTAAGATTGAAAAAATTGCTAAAATAAAAAAAGTGCATCAAATTATTATTAGCCAAATATTAAATATATTAAAAATGTGTAAGGATAAATTTAAAGATAAATTTAAATAAATTTGTTTAAGAATAAATTGCGCCAAAATTAATTACTAAAATCAATAGCACAATTTTATTAAACTTTATTATATAATGTCTTTATTTTAGTTATTTGACTCATACATTCTGTTTTACAGATCCCTATTTGCTAGAAAAGCGATCTAGATAATATATAGATTTTCAAAACGTGAATCTCCTCAACGTTCTGTTGAACGTCGTCTCAGGCAATTTGTTATCGATGACTACTGACAATTCATCTTTCTCTATAGTATGGAAAATGTACAGCGCTTTAGTGTGGTTGCTCGAAATAACTCAAATGTGCGTTCTAATTCCTGGTTGCATTATTCTGCCGAAAAAGAAAGTTCTAAAAGATGACCTGATTGGTATTGCGGTTACCATGAAAGTGGTCACAATCATGCGAATTCATATCCGTAAGGCACTAGTGCAACGATTGATTCAGAAACTGAACAACATCATGCGCGTGAAGGATGAGCTGATGAGGAGTACGGTGATGGAGACGCTGAAACTGATGGAAATTCCTCTTACATTTTATTGGATGGCAGGTTTGGTTGTCCATAATTATGTGGACCATCGCGCTGTTTATATTGGTTTTTCAAAAAAATTCTTTCGTTTATATGGATTACAGAATGCCAGTCATATTTTCCAAAGAGCCATTCTCGACTAGCATTTTTGTATTCGGAAGTCTCGTTGTAATTTTCTTTTCTAATAAATTACATTGTTAATCAAAATTTGCCGCCTTCTGCCGCTCGTGTACATTGCACACTTCGTACACGCAAGTAAGACGATTCTACGTATAACCTTCTGAATACTCTTAGGTATGCCAATAGAGCCATCAGTTTATGGCAGTCTCTTGAAGCGATAAGTTTGCGATTGAATGCTTTTCCTGTTAAATCTGATATTAAACCTGGCTGATTGAACTAATTGGATAAAGCATTAAACATATAATAAAATATTTATCTTTCTTTCTTTAAATGTGCATACAAAATTGTGTGAAGTAACAGGTAACTCTTTTATTTTATAAAAGACACTTTCTTTAATTTTCAAATCGATTTCATTTTATTGTAAATATTATTTTTATCTTTTATATACATTACAGTTAATAGAAATGAAGACATATACGTTTGTACTGTAATAGCATGTTTCAACCATTTTGACATATAGAAAATGTAAAATTTATAAGATAAATTTCTTTTTAACATTATAAAATTATTGTGTAATTAATTTTATATTATTGCTATAAAATTATCTAAACTATAAAATACTATCTTATTATCTAAGTTATAAAATTATTTATCTTAAAAACGTATAATATTTCCTGTATTGTTTTTAAAATATTTTTTATAATAAATATCTAAGCTCAGTAGGATATGTTAATTTAAATGTATAATGAACGAATGAATAACCAATAATGAATAAGTAACATTTTATCCAAAAAAATGTGTTATAAAAATATTAACATAATTGTTTTCAGAATTTTGTTCGAATGTTTGATACAAATCGCTATATTATCAAAATTTCAAATATTTGATGATATTTGATTTCCGTTCAGTGTTTATATGATTTTAATATATTTCTTACTTAAGGAACAGATCGATCTTGAAAATAACATGTTAGTAAACATGCAATCTATATCAGATATAAAATCGCGTTCAGAATATATCTTCATTTCTCATATATTTTAATGCTTACATTATATATATATATATATATATATATATATATATATATATATACTGAATTATGCAAGTGCACTAAAAGAAATCTTAAACATTGCTAAATTGAGATAAGTAAGAGTTACGTTTATTGTGCTTGTGCTATTGGAATTATATAAATACATCCCTTACATCTCCTAATATTCAAATCCGAGTAAAATATTTCATATGTCGTTTCAATAAGTTTTACATTTATCTTTTCAACTAATTTTTTTAAATCATATTATTTTTTAAACCATTTAAACATTTTTTAAACCATTTAAACATATTATTTTAATTTCTTTTTAAATTAACCGTATTTTCTTATAAAACGTAAGTAAATTCTCTTGAAAGTTTTTTTCATACAAAAGTCGATTGAATTGCATACTCTTTGTAAACATCTTGTTTTTAATGCAGAAACGTTTTTTATAGATAACTGAATGAAATATAACATGACATTCTTAAAACTATTATTAAGTAGATGTGTAATATACATAACTATAATGGCAATAGCGTGTTCTATGGATGATGAAGAATCAAAAATCAAAGCAGAAATAATCAAATCAAGCAACATAGGTTATGTACTTCCGAAACATTATAATATGAAGATAGAGTTAGACAATTATTATCTCCATAACATATGCATAATCACTTTATGTATTTTTAATACAAAACAATACATAAGTTTTTATGTACCGGATACAACAATTATAATGTCCACAATATTAAATCAAAATAATGGTACGGTTTATGAAACAAAATACATAAATTTTAAAAGCAATATTGTCAGGCTCGATTTCGGTGATGTCTCATTGCGTGGAAAATACGATCTGTATATAGAGTACTCAATCTCAATTAATGACGTAAGGGAATCTTTCGGAATTCCGTACATAAACAAAGATGAAGAAACAGAGTAAGTAGAAGAATATATGAAATATCAAAAACAAATTGTACATTTGTGCATTCTATGCTTACAATTATCTAGTCTTAGTCATTATCTAAAACATATCATTAAAATATGATAGGTGGTTAATCGCAACAGGTATCCAGCAAAGAAACAGGTATCAAACGAGAAAACAGCAAATATTTCCATATTGGGACAAGCCAGAGTTAAGAATTACTTTTATTATTTCCATAATGCATCATCCAAAATACAAAGCTTTGTCAAATATGCCGATACGAGATACTGAATTGACGAACGATAATATGATATGGACATATTTTCACGAGACTTTTTTGATCTCCATAGATAGTGTAGCATTTCTGGTATCCGGTTTTCGTCACATTATCCTCCCAGATAATGAAACAATTCATTCAACCATATGGTTCAGACCACAATCGGAACCACATTTAGAATTTGCGAAAACTGTTATTTCTTCCATTAATGTATACATACGTAGATGGAATATTTGGAGGAGAGAACTTGCGGTGTTAACCTCTGTTTCATTTGAGAGCAAAATGGATCATGTCGTAATCCCGGATTTACAAAATGAAATGGAACAGTCTTTTGGTTTCATTTTTTATCGGTAATATATATAGTGAAAAATATAGATATATTTTACAAACTATTTTAATTACATAAAGATAAATTTTACAAACTATTTTAATTACATATTATATTGTAATCCATTTACATAGAAATTATATTAATATCTACAATTTTATATACATATATTAGTATAATTATTTTTAGAGAAGCAGATATCACTTATAATGAAGAATTAGATCCTGTCGCATACAAACCGATAATTGCGCGCTTAATTGCACGTGGGATGGTACAAAAATATGTTAAAAATTTGTTCAGACCAACTAACTTATGGCTTCATACATGGTTAAATGAAGGATTTAATATATTTTATCAAGCATACATTATCGACCAGGTTATTTTATTACTAATTTTGTTACTATTTGAATACGCAGTCAAATGATTAACAGTTTAGCAATGCAGATAATTGTTAAATATTTCTGCAAATATTCTGTTTTATTTCTTAATTATAAGAAATGATAAGAATACAAGTTTCTAAAATTTCTAAAAGTCCAATGAAAGAAATTTAATAAGAAAATTTAATAAGAACTAAATATGTATATGTTTTTGTATTATAATTATCGCAGAACAATTTACACATTTAAACATACATACAAACTTTATTCTTATCAACAGCATATAATAAGTCAATTTTAATATTTACCAGAAACTTGAATTGATTTTAGACTCGGTCAAATTCCCGGATGATGGATTTGTTTGTAGTTCAAGTTCAACATGAATTACTCTATTTAAATACTTATGTTGTTATAAATTCTACTATAGAATATAATATACGCTATCCTGAAAATTATATACAGTCTTCTCTTTCTCATATCAAAGGTATGCGTATAACACTGCATAATTAAACAATTAAATAATTATAAATTGCTCAATGTTAATTTCTTAAAAAATGGGAAGTCATTTTATAAAGAAAAGACCTCGTACGATTCTTGGAAGATGAATTTTGAAGTTTAGTGAAATTTGCAGAATCTTTGGAAATAAATAGTTTGTGACAAACCAAAAGTCACATTATTCGCGATATTGTTTGATAGAGCCATTTTGTCACTACGAACATTCAAATGTCGAAATAAGGCGTTATTTCATTACTATTTAGGGAATATAAATAATATATTATTGAGTAGAATCACACATAGTTGATTACTTTTATTAATATATAGATATTATATTTACGTGGAAAAAATATATATGCATGTATATATAGAGTGTTCATGAAGTTCCCATCCACTATATTTTATAAACGGTTCAAAAATTACGAAAAATCATGAAACAGGTGTTCAATTATTTTGAGAGGCTAGTCTTTTAAAGCAATTAGGGAAGAGGAGTTGAATCTTTTTCCCATCCGAAGGGGAGATTTAGTAAAAACCTATATAATAACTATACTTTTAACTAATTATATTTTATCAAATATCAAATAACATGTTATGGCGACGACAGCGGCGATGCTACTACACACACACTTTTTTCATGTAAATATATTAATAAAATGTATTAATAAAAATGGTCAATTCTTTATTTAATACATTATTTACTTTTCTTTAATAATATAATATTAAATAATAATATTAAAATAACACTTTATTTTGATATTTGAATACTTGTAGTAACGGAACTACTTCATCAATCATATCACATTTATTTTGACATTTTTTTACTTTTTATCGTGTTTTCACGTAAACTGTTTCCAAAATTTAGCAAATTCAATCAAATTCAAATCTCTTCAAAATTCAATTTGCATAAAAAGAATCGCAAGGCACTTCATTTGTAAAATTTAATATATTTTTTTATAATATTTGCAATAACATAATAATATCTAACTTTAAAATAAAATTTTTATATAATTTTAGGATAATTTTATAATGTGTAATTTTTTTAAATTATAACTGTACATGTTTGTCTAAGATTTCGAATAATCATAATAAAATATAAAATTAATTGATTCTTTATAATTGTCTAATTTATTATTTTTAACAAATTTTTACTTATTCACTATTTATCTATTGTTACAAATTTTTTCATTAAAATGTATTTAACAATTTTTCATAGCTGCTTACTTTGATTTAATTGCACAAATTTTGTGTGTGATATATTTAGTTTTATTAGTTACAAATATATTCACAAACTTTTATTGCACATATTAGTAAAAGGATTTTAAATATATTAAATTTTTTTCCTTTAAATATTATAGGATCTGTTATATGGCGCATGTTAAAACGAACATTATCACGTCGTATATTTTTAAAGGGACTCATCAAATATTTGGATAATCAGTAAGTATAATGCATTGTAATGTAATAATGTACATCATAAAGGAAGAAGAAAAAAATCAAAATATAAAATAAATTCAATAATATATTTTCAATATTTTAATGTTTGAAAGATATAGATATTTACAAGTTCAAATTTATACTGCTATTTTATATTTATAAATTTTTGTTACGATTGAATTTCAACTTTTTTCTTAATAAATATATAATAAATATTCATATTTTCTAAATAAAAATAATTCAAATTGAATGATTTCGAGAATCTAGTTTTACAAACATAGAATATAAATATTCTAAAATCTTTGTAATATAAAAATTAATTTATTATTTATTCAGTCACGACAAATCCTAACATAATTACTAATAAAGATATATTAATACTAATAAAGATATATTAATAAATATTAAATAAAAATATATATATAAAATATAAATAAAATATTCTTATTAAAAATATATACTAAAGAATATATATTACATATATGTATATATGTTTTTATTATTTTTGTGTATATGTTTGTGTTTTGTGTATATGCGTTTTTATTATTTTTGTATATATTATAAAAATAATATATATATATTTTTTTTTTATTTTTATAACATATAAAATCCACGAATCTATCGTGTATATAATGAATAATTGTATATATTATATATATGTATTATATACACGATAGATCCGTTAGCACGATAGCTTTTATATATACAAGGTGTCCCATTTTAAATAATACGTTCAAATATCTTCGAAACGGTGCGTTAAATAAAAAAATGTTTCATGTTTTTGTCTGCCGGACTCAGTTTTTGAGATATTCGGCTGATACTGGTGGTCTGCAACACCCTGCACATATATTTTATATATATATATATATATATATATATATATATATACACAATTATATTAAGTTCATAAATTTTTATCCCTGTAGAAGTTACATTATAGATTCAAATACGATAATATATTTTATAAATTATGATTTTCTTTCTTATTATTTAATTATCAATTTTACTATAGCATTAAAATTAACATAATGTTAAATCTTAGATTAGATTATCCTGCAGCAACAACTTCTCATGATTTATGGAATGCCATAAGATCTGTCATGATTGAATTAAATTTCAAGTATGATCCTAATATAAAAGACACGATAGATTCGTGGATTATACAGAGGTGTACTATCGTGTTGAAGGTGACGCCAAATTATGCTACTGTTTTTCCATCCGTATCAGTAGAATTTTACAACAAATTAGATGAGAAACAATATTATATACCTGTTACTTATACTACAGAGTCAAAACTTTATTTTTCCGTAACTTACCAGACGAATTTTTGGTTAACACCATGGCGTTCAAAAATCAAACTCCCTTATAAAGAAAATGAATGGATTATTCTCAACTTACAACAAACTGGTAAATATGCAATAAAATACTTTTATTTTTATTGTTTATATATATATATATATATATATATATATAATTATATATATATATTTTTTTTATTGTTTATATATATATATATATATATATATATAATTTAAGTATATATATTTTAGTATATATATCATATTTATAAAAAAACCATTTTATATTAGTACAAAATTCTTTACATATACAAATTCTCAGAATTGTTTTATTATTATTTACATTTATATTTATCATATTACAAATATTAGATAGATATCATACATGACATAAATTACAAATATTAGATTAGATATCATACATGACATAAATTTTAATTAAAAATAATCATAAAATGTTTTAAAACTCATATACAGGGTGGCCGATTTATCTGAAGACATTGAAATATCTCGAGAACTTCTCCAGAAAAAAGTACCTCAATTTGACCTATGAGTTTTTGCATTTTGGTTCACAGAATGGCGCTGTAATCGACAAAAATCAAAATGGGTAAAAAATCGTTAAAAATTGAGAATATCTCGAGAAATACACATTAGATCAGAAAAATAAAAGTAGACGTATTTGATATTTTTAAAAATGCTATTCATCATAAATCAGAATCATTTCAATTTTTTCTTCTAAGGTTGCAGGATTCATTTTCCACTTGCAATTCTGTTCAAGGAATGAAGGGTAGATGTGCAGGCAATAAAAACTAGTCAAGTAAAATAAAATTGTTAGAGATGCTTTCATTTCTAGTTCTGAAAGAAAAGTGACCTCTGACCGCACTGCATTGCCTTTTATAATAATTAATAATTAATTCGCCACACACCCACAGTGGCGCGTCGAGCAGTCCCCTCTTCGATTTGTCGGAGGGATACAACGTTGAGAATGGGGTTCCCCATTGAAGATTTTGAAATATTTCCATCTCCCACCCCCAAGAGATGAGGGTGGGGGATCAATTATGGTGTCATTAAATAGCATATTTTTAAAAATATCAAATACGTCTACTTTTATTTTTCTGATCTGATATGTATTTCTCGAGATATCTCCAATTTTCAACAATTTTTTACCCATTTTGATTTTTGTCGATTACAGCGCCACCTGTGAATCAAAATGCAAAAACTCGTAGGTCAAATTGGGGTACTTTTTTCTGGAGAATCCAAATCTGCAATAAAAAAATGGGGGTTCCTATTTAAGTTTTTTATCTTCCCCCACCTCCACCCCCAGGGGATGGCGGTTTGAGTTTGGTATCATTAGATATCCCCCTTCGAGACGAACAACTTTCATTACCCACTCTTTTTGATCCGATGTATAGTTCTCGAGATATTTCAATGTCTTCTCATAAATCGGCCACACTGTATACAGGATGTCAGGGAATTTTTGACCTTCACGAAGTAAGGAGGTAGATTAAAAAATCAATTCAAAATTCTCAAATTAAGAAGGAAGGACCTTTTGTGCTTGTCGTAATAATTAACGAAAAATTAAATAAAGAAGATCGGCCAATGCGCGTGGCTAAAAGCACACGACGGCGAAGACGGTCTAATTGTAACATAACGGCGGCGCGCGGCGAAGCGGTGACTCCGCAATCAAAAATTCTCTGACACCCTGTATAATATAAGATATAGCAAAAGATATTACAAAAATTGTTAACGATATATTTGAAATTTTCATTTCTTGCAGTAATTTGTAGAATTGCTGATACTTTGTTAAATAACAAAAACGAAATATACAAACTTCTCTAATAATATAATAATATATTTAATATCGAAATATCTTTAACATCTCGAAATGTGTTTATAATTAATATATATTATTTGGAAGTATTTAATAATCAACAAAAATAATTTATTTTATTACAGGATATTATCGCGTCCATTACGATACTGCGAATTGGCTAAAAATTGCACAATACTTAAATTCTGAAAAATATAGTAATATACATGTTCTCAATCGAGCGCAAATCATTAATGATGCGTTTCATTTTGCGATAGAGAAGAAACTTGAATTCTCCATATTTTGGGAACTCGTTTCTTATTTGGCACAGGAAACAGATTATATAGCATGGTATCCTATGTTGAAAGCATTTGAAATTATGTCGAATATCTTCCCATTCTTGGATTTTTATCCTGAATTTAAGGTATATATATATATATATATATATATATATATATATATATGAAATATATAACACAAATATGTAACATAAGCGCTTTTTAAAGTTAAATTTCCGAATTTTGTAACAAAAATAATTAAATATTAATGTATAATTAATTTTTTTTGTTTAACTCACTACATATATCTATTTTTAAAGGAATTATTATGATATGAAATCGTTGTATTATAAAATAGATAATTGGTGTAATGGATAATTTTTTTTATAAAAGAATCTTATTATATATATATATATAATTATTTTTGTTCCAAAATTCAGAAATTTAAATTTAAAAAGCGCTTATGTTATATATGTTATATTCTTACATATGTTATATTTATGTTATATATTTTTTTCTTTACATTTAATACAATCACATAAATTTTGAATATTTTATCAAGTTATTTTTCTTTAATAATAATACATTAGTATTTACGTGATAATTGATGATCAATTGTGTAATTAATATTTAATGGGTTTTAAGAAATTATGAAACACAGTATATAATACAATTATTTTTTTTTATTAATCTTTTTACGTAATATTCGAATGTCTACGATGTTAAAAATATACAATACATATACAATACAATTTTGTAGAGAAATTGACTTATATAATTTTACAATAATTTTTTTACATTATACAACACATAATAATTTATTACACATAATCCACTTGTAAATACTTGTTTAATAAAAGAAATTGATATTTAAAGTTTAAAATATTTACAATCTATATTTAATATGCCACAGATTTAAATTAAGAAAATATATTAAAGTTGATTTATCAATTGATACATCAATATACATAGATTTAAATATATACAGAGTGTCTTGTAAATTCTGTTCGCGCGTACCTCGACTCTTGTTTTTTCATGGCTATGCGACACTCGCCGCTGACACACCTACCGCGCATATCTTACAATCTAGCCTCGCGAAACGCGCGTTTATTCACATTTTTAATTAATATTTCAATAAATTATTGCGAAAATTGTAAAATGGTAAAGGACCTTTGTGTTGAGTTTTTTGCGTTTTATCCACTCACGTGCGTTAGCACAAACTTATGAAACACTTTGTATATGAATATATATATGTGTTAAAAATTCATTAGATGATATAAAATCCATACCTATATAGATAATAAAATACATACACAATTATTCACACACAAATAAGAAATTCTAATAAATCTGGTTATTATAGTATTGATGCTATAAAGTCACATAAATATTAAAAACACATATAACAAAATTATCTAGGAATAATGTTTATTTGCGCGTACATTATATGTGTTCTTGTAAATAATGAATAAATTAAATATAATAATATTTATCAATTTTTTAGGGTGTGCTAAAGTTTGATTTTATGCAGAATATTACATCTAAATACGGAAACTTATATGATGAAAATAACATCAGCGATCATACTAAATGTTTGAAACAAGAACTTGCAAAGTGGGAATGTATTATAAATGAAGAGCCTTGCGAAGAAAAATCTAGGAGTCATTTGAAATGGCATCTAGCAAATCCTGAAGAAAACAAGTAATTCTTTTCATAATATTTTATTCTTTTTATAGAAATATTTTTTTACATTCTGCATATGTTTAAAAAATTAGTTATCACCAAATATTAGTATATCAACAAATTATTTATAAAACACTAAAGAAACTATTAACACAATTTCGTTAGAAGATTTTTATTTCTTTTTTGGACTATGTTCTATAGACTTTTGCCTAGATGGAAGAGGTGGACATATTGTAATGGTTTGAAAACGGCAGATCGTGATACATGGAATAATGTTTTTAATGATTACATAAAAGGAAATGATACAATTTTAGAATGTCTGGCTTACAGTAAAAATTCTGAAATTATAATCAATTATTTAAATATAAAATTATTACAAATTTTATTCGAATTCAATCTATCTAATCATCCGCGTGGACTGATGAAGCGAGCTTATGCCTTAAATGCTAATATTTTTCTTTCTATCATTGAGAGGCATACTAAATATATGCTTACAAGTTTATTAAATAATTACAAAGAAATAAGACACGGGTAACAATATTATTTAATAAAAATATAGACATGAAGAATTATTGAATAAATTATAAATGTACTGTTTTGTTCTTCACAGGCATGTTAATAATATTGTGACATTAACTGTTATAATTAACAATGTGTATTCTAAGGGACAGTTGGGCGAGGTAAATTTTAAATAAATCAAATTTCTATATTTTATATAATATTTTTCTATAATTCTGTTCATAATGATACTCTGTATGTGTGTCAGTACAATTATTAAATAGGAAATCATTTATTGATAATTATTAATAATTATTAAAATAATCCATTTTAGATAAAGAAATTCGTAAAAAAAGAGCTGGAAAATTCAATCATTTCTATTGTTGAAAACAAGATAGAAACCCGCTTGTCGGAAATCGAAAAACAGATAAAATATTTTCGATCTTTATTCACAATTGAATAACTAGATTTCTAAGACATTAATTGTTTAAAAATTATAAATACAACATAAATGATTGTGATAATATTTATAAATGTATATACTTAATTATTCAATGTCATATAAAAGTTAATAATTGTTTAATTATTTAATTAAATATTAATTGTATTTAATCAATTTAATATTAATTGTACAATATAATATTAAAAATATTGTATTGTATAATATTGTATTGTATTGTATTAAGCGACGCGGTAGCGTCCCGACGCTAAGTACATAAAAAACAAGTCCAAGCATTGAGTTGAGAGTCACTGCTTTCGACGCGGCACTACCAAGTACCTTATCCGGAATTTCGCGTCATTTCGCATCAAGTAAACTTTCGGTTTAAGATATTTAATAAACTAAAGCCGTAATCAAAAATCTAACGACACTTTTATTATCAAATGTGAATATATGCTTTCGATTGCGACCTGTTTGAACAAAATTGGTGCAGTCAATCTCGAGATATGATGATCGAATATCAGAATTGTGACATTTTTCGTTTTCCTTCTTCTTCTTCTTCATCATTTCCACTGTCTCACGTACATGCTCGCACGCACACACGCGAAGCGAATTTGTCCCTCAAGCGGCGTTCACATCGCTGCGTACGATTATTGCTTCGATATGTACAATGCTTTAAGTGACAAAATCATATGTGTGCATGTGCGCACATACGTGTGATTAAAGTATAGTGCGGAATAGTGTAATATGTATGTGTACGTACGTATAAAAGATAAATTTATTAAAGTATAGTGCGGAATAGTGTAACAAGGAATAGAAGTGACACGTTACTTGTTTAAAAAGACAGAAGAGAAGTGACATATTATTAATAAAAGTTATTATCAAGCGACGCAGTAGCGTCGCGACGCCGAATGCATTGATTAATGAAAAAAAAAACCCAGATTTGTGACACTTAACGATCGCCAAATGGACTGTGATTCATCAATCAAAAGGTAAATATTGTAAAATTTTTCTCTTTCTATTTAGATTAGATATAATATATTTTGACATATTTTGTGGAATATATTTGTATAATTTATAATTATATATGTGTGCGTGTGTGCGCGTCTGCGCGCGCGCGCGCGTGTGTGTGTGTGTGTGAGAATGTGCACGTCTCTGTCTCTCGTAATCGTACCGCAATTAGTTAACTATTTTCCTTTATAGTTTAAAAACTAACCTCCAGGCAAAATCTTTTGTATCTTGTATAATAATTATTGTACTCACATACACTTGGTATTAATGAGATTGTTTATTCGAATTTAATTCTTCCAATAAAATTATATGCTTATATACATTTTACTAAAAGTAAACTATATATACAGGGTGACAGTGCAATTTTCCGCCAAAAATAACCATAAGTAGATCTCAATAAACTAATTAAAAATGTATGTATCATTTTGCAAATCACGTAAAATTTCGAAATATTAATTAACGAAGATCGGCCAACACATGCAAGTATAAGTGCGATTAGGATTCTGCAATTAATTTTCTCTTGCAAATGGTTTTCTAGAAAAATTGTCTTTAAAAGTCTTTCAAATAAAACTTTGTACGTAAACGGAATACAAAAACTAAAGAAGTATAGGAGAGACCGGAAACAAAACGGTAACAGCGTTATGAAAATAATAAGTCTGCTACTAAATTACACAATATGTTGAATAATTTGTACCATATGTATAGTCAAACGTGTCAGTCACGCATAAGTTCCGATTTTATTTCTTTTCAGCTAATTGTTGCAGAACGATCGCGCCGGTTGCATGCAGGAGTGAAAATGGTGTATTTACATTATTCACCTAAGTATTTCTTGTTTTAGTTTTTTTATATCCATGCCTGATTAAAGTGTATATTGACGTAATTATTTGTCGGTGTATCTTTTTAAAATGTATTCCTAAGTTTTATAGTTGATTTGGCCAAGTCTGACATCATATTTAGGTTATAATGCTTTTATTCTAAAAAATGTGTTTGGAGACAAAAGTAACACTCTATGGACGAAAGTAACAAAGTATTTCAATGCTTAAAATATAAGGGCTGGTCCCATAATAACTGTATTAGAGAGGATTCTTATTACGTATGCCATAATTGTGATTCGGAATATTTACCAATCTCTTTTGTAAAAGTAGTTATCATACAATTTTTACACTTATTTAGAATTAAACTATTATTTAAACTTGAAAAAGTACAAAACTGATGTGATATTAAGTATAATTATTTTATGATATTACTTATAATTATTTTGCTTAACGAAAATTATTTTTTTAAAGTTTATTAAAGATGATAAAAATAAATATTTATTTTATTTTTTATTTGAATATAATATAATACAAATTTATAATAAAAGTTATCTTGCTTAATAAAAGAATATAATAAAATTGTTGTCTTAAATTGAAAAAATATTTATTTCATTTTTCCGAAAATAAGAACTGTTACTTTCATCCCCAGATTATGTTACTTTCATCCCCGGTCCCCAGGACAAAAGTAACAATCAGCGAAATATTGTGATTAATTCATGTTTTAACATAATTTTTAACATAATTATTTATAGGTCCATCAAGTTTTCAATCTAAAATCTTTATTTTTCTTATTAAATTCTTTTACATTATTTAAAAATCCAAACCAGTTATGAAAATTTTTTAAGTTCAAATCGTTCTTCAACCTTCGAAAAGACAACATCTATAATAGTATAGAAAAAAATATATACATATTCCTATACATATACATATGTGTGTGTGTGTGTGTGTGTGTGTGTGTGTGTGTGTGAGAGAGGGAGAAAGATTTTTCTTTTCTAATGAATTACATTCTTAATCAAAATTTGCGGCCTCTTATATTGTGCCGCCCGTGTACATTGCACACTTCGTACACGCAGGTAAGACGGCTCTATGTATAACCTTCTGAATACTCTTAAGTATGCCAACAGAGCCATCAGCTTATGGCAGTCTCTTGAAGTGATAAGTTCGCGATTGAATGCTTTTCCTGTTAAATCTGGTATTAAATCTGGCTGATTGAACTAATTGGATAAAGCATTAAATATATAATAAAATATTTATCTTTTTCTTTTTTTAAATGTGCATACAAAATTGTGTGAAGTAACAGGTAACTCTTTTATTTTATAAAAGACACTTTCTTTAATTTTCAAATCGATTTCATTTTATTGTAAACATTATTTTTATCTTTTATATACATTACAGTTAATAGAAATGAAGACATATACGTTTGTACTGTAATAGCATGTTTCAACCATTTTGACATATAGAAAATGTAAAATTTATAAGATAAATTCCTTTTTGACATTATAAAATTATTGTGTAATTAATTTTATATTATTGCTATAAAATTATCTAAGCTATAAAATACTATCTTATTATCTAAGCTATAAAATTATTTATCTTAAAAACGTATAATATTTCCTCTGTATTGTTTTTAAAATATTTTTTATAATAAATATCTAGGCCCAGTAGGATATGTTAATTTAAATGTGTAATGAACGAATGAATAACCAATAATGAATAAGTAACATTTTATCTAAAAAGATGTGTTATAAAAATATTAACATAATTGTTTTCAGAATTTTGTTCGAATGTTTGATACAAATCGCTATATTATCAAAATTTCAAATATTTGATGATATTTGATTTCCGTTCAGTGTTTATATGTTTTTAATATTATTTCTTACTTAAGGAACAGATTGATTTTGAAAATAACATGTTAGTAAACATGCAGTCTATATCAGATATAAAATCGCGTTATTGTGAATATACCTTCATTTCTCATATATTTTAATGCTTACATTATATATATATATATATATATATATATATATATATATATATATACTGAGTTACGTAATTTTACTAAAAGAAATCTTAAACATTGCTAAATTGAGATAAGTAAGAGTTACGTTTATTGTGCTTATCCTATTAGAATTACATAAATACATCCCTTACGTCTCCTAATATTCCAATCCGAGAAAAATATTTTATATGTCGTTTCAATAAGATTTAGATTTATCTTTTCAACTAATCTTTTTATTTATTAAACCATATTATTTTATTTTCTTTTTAAATTAACCGTATTTTCTTATGAAACGTAAGTAAATTCTCTTGAAAGTTTTTTTCATACAAAAGTCGATTGAATTGCATACTCTTTGTAAACACCTTGTTTTTAACGCAAGAACGTTTTTTATAGATATCCGAACGAAATTTAACATGTCATTCTTAAAACTATTATTAAGTAGTAGTATAATATACATAACCATAATGGCAATAGCGTGTCGTATGGATGATGAAGAATCAAAAATCGAAGCAGGAATAATCAAATCAAGCAACATATCAAGTTATATACTTCCGAAACATTATAATATGAAGATAGAGTTAGACAATTATAATCTCCTTAACGTATGCATAATCACTTTACGTATTTTTAATACAAAACGATACATAAGTTTTTATGTACCGGATACAACAATTATAGCGTACTCAAAATTAAATCGAAATAATGGTACGGTTTATAAAACATATCACATAAATTTTATTAAAAACAATATTGTCGTGCTCGATTTCGGTGATGTCTCGTTTCATGGAATATACGATTTGTATATAGAGTACTTAATCTCAATTGATATGGTAAGGGAATTTTTCGGAACTCCGTACATAAACGAAGATGAAGAAATAGAGTAAGTAGAAGAATATATGAAATATCAAAAACAAATTGTATATTTGTGCATTCTACGCTTACAATTACCTAAAATTAGTCATTATCTAAAATATATCATTAAAATACGGTAGGTGGTTAATCGCAACAGGAATCCAGCGAAGAAACAGGGATCAAACGAAAAAACAGCAAATGTTTCCATATTGGGACAAGCCAGAATTAAGAATTACTTTTATTATTTCCATAATACATCATCCAAAATACGAAGCTTGGTCAAATATGCCGATACGAGATATTAAATTGACGAACGATAATATGATATGGACATATTTTGACGCTACTCCTTCAATCTCCATAGATAGAGTAGCATTTCTGGTATCCAGTTTTCGTCACGTCATCCTCTCGGATAATGAAACAATTCGTTCGTCCATAACGTACAGATCACAATCGGAACCGCATTTAGAATTTGCGAAAACTGTTATTTCTTCCACCAATGTATACATGCATAGATGGAATATTTGGAACAAAGAACTTGCGCCGCTAACTTCTGTTTCATTTGAGAACAAAATAGATTATGTTGTAATTCCGGATTTACAAAATGAAATTGAACAGACTTTTGGTTTCATTTTTTATCGGTAATATATATAATTAAAAATATAAATATATTTTAAAAACTGTTTTAATTACATATTAAATTGTAATCTATTTACATAAGAAATTATATTAATATCCACAATTTTTTATACATATTAGTATAATTATTTTTAGAGAAGCAGATATCACTTATAATGAAGAATTAGATCCTGTCGCATACAAAACGATAATTGCGCACTTAATTGCGCGTGGGATGGTACAAAAATATGTAGGAAATCTGTTCAAACCAACTTACTTATGGCCTCATACATGGTTAAAAGAAGGATTTAATATATTTTATTCAGCACAAATTATCGAAAAGGTTATTTTGTTAATAATGTTATTACTATTTGAATATCCAGTCAAATGATTAACAGTTTAGCAATGCAGATAATTGTTAAATATTTGTGCAAATATTCTGTTTTATTTCTTATAAGAAATGATAAAAATCCAAGTCTCTAAAATTTCAAAAATCCAAAGAAAGAAATTTAATAAGAACTAAGTATGTATATGTTTTTGTATTATAATTATCGCAGAAAAATTTACATACACAAACACACATACAAATTTTATTCTTAACAATGGCATATAATAAGTTAATTTTAATACGCACCAAAAACTTTTTCTTAATGATTATTTTTGATAAATTATGATTATATCGAATTGATTTTAGGTTCTACCAAATTCCCGGATAGTGGATCTGTTTGTAGTTCAAGTTCAGCATGAATTACTCTATCTAAATACTTATGTTGTTATAAATTCTACTATAGAATATAATATACGCTATCCTGAAAATTATATACAGTCTTCTCTTTCTCATATCAAAGGTATGCGTATAACACTGCATAATTAAACAATTAAATAATTATAAATTGCTCAATGTTAATTTCTTAAAAAATGGGAAGTCATTTTATAAAGAAAAGACCTCGTACGATTCTTGGAAGATGAATTTTGAAGTTTAGTGAAATTTGCAGAATCTTTGGAAATAAATAGTTTGTGACAAACCAAAAGTCACATTAATCGCAATATCGTTTGCTAATGCCATTTTGTCGCTACAAATGTTCAAATGTCGAAATAAGGCATTATTTCATTACTACTGAGGAAAAATAAATAATGTATTATTGAGTAGAATCACACACAGTTGTTTACTTTTATTATTATATAGATATTATTATATTTACGTGGAAAATATATACATAAATGTATATATAATAGGATGTCCATAAATATCCGATCTACTATATTTTAGAAATGGTTCAAAAATTACGAAAAATCATGAAAAAATGTTTAATTATTTTGAGAGGCTAGTCTTTAAAGCATTTAGAGAAATTGTATCTCTCTCCCATTCGAAGAGGGATATTTAGGGAAAACCTATATAATAATTATACTTTTAACTAATTATATTTTATCAAATATCAAATAGCATGTTGGCAACGACAGCGGTGATGCTACACATACATTTTTTCCATGTAAATATATTATTATAATGTATAAATAAAAATGATCAACTGTGTATAACATTCTAATATATTATTTACTTTATTTAATATATTATTTACTTTGCCTTAATAATATTGAAATAACGTCTTTTCGATATTTCGATATTTTAATACTTGTAATAACGAACCACTTTATCAATCTTACCAAATTTATTTTGATGTTTTTAAATTTTTATTGTGTTTTCACGTAAACTGTTTATTTCCAAAATTCAGCAAATTCATAGGAAGAATCGTGCTCTTCGTTTGTGAAATTTAATATATTTTTTTATAGTATTTGGAATAATGTAATTATATCTAACTTTAAAATTAAATTTTTATATAATTTTTGGATAATTTTATAATGTATAATTTTTTTTTAAATCATAACTATATATGTTTCTCTAAAATTTCAAAAAATCATAATAAAATATAAAATTAACTGATTCCTTATAATTGTCTATTTAATATATAATTTATTATTTTTAACAAATTTTTTCTCATTCACTATTTATCTATTATTACAAATTGTTTTGTTAAAATGTATTTAACAATTTTTCATAGCTGCTTACTTTGATTTAATTGCACAAATTTTGTATGTGATTTATTTAGTTTTATTAGTTACAAATATATTCACAAACTTTTATTGCACATTTTAGTAGAGGGATTTTAAATATATTAAATTTTTTTCTTTTAAACGTTATAGGATCTATTATATGGCGCATGTTAGAACGAATATTACCACTTCGTATATTTTCAAAGGGATTGGCGAAATATTTTAATAATCAGTAAGTATAATGTATTTTAATGTAATAATATACATTATAGAGGATAAAGAAAAAAAATCAAAATATAAAATAAATTTAATAATATATTTCCAGTTTTTTAATATTTAAAAGACATAGATATTTAAAAGCTTAAATTCATACTGCTATTTTATATTTATGAATTTTTGTTAAGATTGAATTTCAACTTTTTTCTTAATAAATATATAATAGATATTCATATTTTCTAAATAACAAATAATTCAAATGGGATGATTTTGAGAATCTAGTTTTACAAACATAGAATATAAACACTTTTTGTAATATAAAAATTAAAATTATTATGTATTCAGTTACGACAAATGCTAACATAATTACTAATGGATATATATATAGTTTTTAAATATCTATGTCTTTTAAATATTAAAAAGATGGAAATATATTATTAAATTTATTTTATTAATTTATATAATGATAAATAAATAATAAGAAAAAAGATCATAATTTACACACACACGCGCGCGCGCGCGCGCGCGTGTGTGTGTGTGTGTGTAAATTATGATCTTTTTTCTTATTATTCTTATTATTTATTATTTATTTATCATTTTTAATATAGTGTTAAAATTATTATAATTTTAAATCTTATAGACTTAGTAAGCCTGAAGCAAAAACTGCCGATCATTTATGGAACGCTATGAGATCCAAGATGACTGAATTGAATCCTATGTATGACTTTGATATAAAAGATGCGATAAATTCGTGGATTATGCAGAAATATCCTTCCGTATTGAAGGTGACGCGAAATTATTCTACTAATATTGTAAGTGTATCGGTACAATTTCGCAACAAGTTAGATGAGGAAGAATATTATATTCCTGTTAGTTATACTACGGAGTCGAATCCCAATTTTACCATAACTTGGACGAATATTTCGGTAACACCATGGATTTCAAAAATTGACATTAATAAGAATAATTCTCATAATAATTTTATTTGGCTACATTACCTTACAAAAACTGAATTCTTTCTTGAGAAAAATCAATGGATTATTTTCAATTTACAACAAGCTGGTGAATATTGAAAAATAAATTTACATCTAAATTTACATATTGAATATTAAATTTATTGTATATTATATATTATATAATAATAAATTTACAATTATATTGTATATAATTTTAAGTATACATATTTCAATATATAAATATTAGGTTGGCAACTAAGTTCCCGCCGTTTTTTTTAAATTTTAACATTCCGCATGTCATTAAATGTTTTTGGCATAATGTTTAATTTATGTTAATTTTCAAATGATTAAAATGGAATGTCAAGTTGGGAAAAATGAGCATTTTCGACACCTCCTTCTTTTTGCTTTTAATCAAGGTTCTAAGGCCGCAAAAGCTGCTCGCGACATTTGTGCATTTGTGTATGGAGAGGGTGCCATAGCTGAAAGAACCGTTCGTGATTGGTATGCCAAGTTCAAAAATGGAAATTTTGACCTCAAATGCTATGCGCGGAGTTTCGTTCAATACTGATGCAGAATTGAGAGCTTGGTTGGATGAATTTTTCGAGTCAAAACCGGGTGATTTCTACCAACGAGGTATTGAAAATCTTGTTGAACGTTGAAAAGAAGTTGTAAACAACAAGGGAGAATACATTATTGATTAATTGATTGTTAATTTTTATTGAAAAATAAACTTTTAAAAAATTTAAAAAAACGGCGGGAACTTAGTTGCCAACCTAATACATATGTTTATATAATTTATATATATATATATATATATATATATATATATATATACTATGTTTGTAGTCGAAGCCATTTTATGTTTGCACTAAATTGCATATTCAAATTCTCAGAATTGATCAATTATTATACATACATATATACATATATGTGTGTATATATATATATATATATATACATATATATATATAAACACAGGGTATTAATGAATATCTGTTACAAACTTGTAGGGTATGCAGAGAGTTTAAGTAAATTAACTTTTAATAAGAAACTCATTTCCGAAAACATACCGTTTGCGAGCTGTAGACTGGAACTATATATTCACTATTAAGAATAATGCAACTATTGGTATGTTCAGTATTAAGAATAATTCTCATAATAACTTTTTTTGTTTACATTACACTCCAAAAATGTTTAGCAATGTTAAACCAAATGACCACAATAATTACTCATAATGACGATCATTAACTTCGATGCAAGAATTGCACCTGCGAAGCATGTTCTGGTACACTCTTTTTAAAATGTTAGACGTCATTTGAATTTCTTGTTGTCATTACGAGCAATTAATGTATTCTCCATCTGTTCTGACATCTGTCCTGACATCTGTCCATCTGTTTTGACATTGCTAAACATTTTTGTAATGTAATGTAAATAAATAAAGATTATGAGAATTATTCCTAATACTTATCTTCCTAATACTAACAGTTCCAGTCTGTATCTCGCAAACGGTGCGTTTCAGGACATGAGTTCCTTATTAAAAATTAACCTTCTTTGAACCCTTTACATATCGTAGAAGTTTGTAACAGGTATTCATATACATATATGTGCATATATATATATACAGGGTGGGGCACTAACTATTAGCACCTTAAATATCTTCAAATCTATGAGGCCCAGAGGAAGATTTGTATAACCAAAATTGCACGGTACGAAGGGGGCTATCATATGACGATAATAATTTTTGTCCAGGTGGAGGCGCTTCGGAGATACCAAGGTCATCTTCATTTTTTTAAATGGGTCCGATATGTTTTTTTTCCATAATATGATAGAGGAACTTGAAACAAGTTTAGAACTCACGACACAAGATCATTGAACAAGATTTAAAGTAAAGAAAAATCGATAGAAATACATTTTTATTATTAAATGACATTTACGTTTACAAAAGATGTTTATCGCACACATTTTTAAATGTTTGACGCGAAGGCAGAATGCGATTAGGATATCGTTCAGAATACAAAATTCTTGCTTGCACTGAATTTTGTTGACATTCACCATAAATTAAAATCATGTCAACTTGTTCTTCAAATGGATACATCTTACACGATTGAACGATTTGTCGATACTAATCTTGTCGTTACGATGTCCTTCAAAGAGTGTTTGTTTACATTGTAGTGATAATACGTGAATACTATTTTCACTGCTAAAAGACATCTGAGAAAGTTCTCAGGATAAACTAGACATAAAAATGGGTTGAAATAAGATTAAAATAATATGTAAATAAAAGTCAGTCAATCATGCACGATGTATCCGTTCGAACATCTTTTGTAAACGTAAATGTCATTTAATAATAAAAATGTATTTCTATCGATTTTTCTTTACTTTAAATCTTGTTCAATGATCTTGTGTCGTGAGTTCTAAACTTGTTTCGAGTTCCTCTATCATATTATGGAAAAAAAACATATCGGACCCATTTAAAAAAATGAAGATGACCTTGGTATCTCCGAAGCGCCTCCACCTGAACAAAAATTATTATCGTCATATGATAGCCTCCTTCGTACCGTGCAATTTTGGTTATACAAATCTTCCTCTGGGCCTCATAGATTTGAAGATATTTAAGGTGCTAATAGTTAGTGCCCCACCCTGTATATATATATATATATATATATATATATATATATATTTATATATACAGCAAGCATCTTTTATTATATCTTATATTATATATATGAGTTTTAATACATTTTATGACTATTTTTAATTAAAATTTATGTTATATAACTATAATATATAACATAAATTTTAATTAAAAATAGTCATAAAATGTATTAAAACTCATATATATGATATAAGATATAATAAAAGATATTGCAAGAATATTGAAATTTTAATGACATATTTAAAATTTTTATTGTTTGCTGTAATTTGTAGAATTGCTGATACAGCCTTCATGTTAAATAATAGAAATGGGAGATACAAACTTCTCTAATAATAATAATAATATATTTATTGTATAATAATATGGAAATATGTTTAACATCTCGAAATGTGTTTATAATTAATATATATTATTTGAAAGTATTTAATAATCAACAAAAATAATTTATTTTATTACAGGATATTATCGCGTCCATTACGATACTGCGAATTGGCTAAAAATTGCACAATACTTAAATTCTGAAAAATATAGTAATATACATGTTCTCAATCGAGCGCAAATCATTAATGATGCGTTTCATTTTGCGATAGAGAAGAAACTTGAATTCTCCATATTTTGGGAACTCGTTTCTTATTTGGCACAGGAAACAGATTATATAGCATGGTATCCTATGTTGAAAGCATTTGAAATTATGTCGAATATCTTCCCATTCTTGGATTTTTATCCTGAATTTAAGGTATATATATATATATATATATATATATATATATGAAATATATAACACAAATATGTAACATAAGCGCTTTTTAAAGTTAAATTTCTGAATTTTGTAACAAAAATAATTAAATATTAATGTATAATTAATTTTTTTTGTTTAACTCACTACATATATCTATTTTTAAAGGAATTATTATGATATGAAATCGTTGTATTATAAAATATTGTGATAATTGGTGTAATGGATAATTTTTTTTATAAAAGAATCTTATTATATATATATATATTTAATTATTTTTGTTCCAAAATTCAGAAATTTAACTTTAAAAAGCGCTTATGTTACATATTTGTGTTATATATTTTTTCTTTACATTTAATACAATTACATAAATTTTGAATATTTTATCAAGTTATTTTTCTTTAATAATAATATATTAGTATTTACGTGATAATTGATGATCAATTGTGTAGTTAATTTTTAATGTGTTTTAGGAAATTATAGAACAGTATATAACACAATTATTTTTCTTATATTAATTTTCTTACGTAGCATTTGAATGTTTACGATGTTAAAAATATACAGTACATATACAATACATTTTGTAGAGAAATTGACTTATATAATTTTACAATAATTTTTTTACATTATACAACACATAATAATTTATTATACATAATCCACTTGTAAATACTTATTTAATAAAAGAAATTGATATTTAAAGTTTAAAATATTTACAATCTATATTTAATATGCCACAGATTTAAATTAAGAAAATATATTAAAGTTGATTCATCAATCGATACATCAATATACATAGATTTAAATATATATACAGAGTGTCTCGTAAATTTTGATCGCGCGTACCTCGACTCTTGTTTCTTCATGACTATGCGACACTCGCCGCTGACACACCTACCGCGCATATCTTACAATCTAGCCTCGCGAAACGCGCGTTTATTCATATTTTTAATTACTATTTCAATAAATTATTGCGAAAATTGCAAAATGGTAAAGGATCTTTGTGTTGAGTTTTTTGCGTTTTATCCACTCACATGCGTTAGCACAAACTTATGAAACACTTTGTATATGGATATATATATATATATATATGTGTGTTAAAAATTCATTAGATGATATAAAATCCATACCTATATAGATGATAAAATACATACACAATTATTCACACACAAATAACAAATTCTAATAAATCTGGTTATTATAGTATTGATGCTATTAAGTCACATAAATATTAAAGACACATAAAACAAAATTATCTAGGAAAAATGTTTATTTGCGCGTACATTATATGTGTTCTTGTGAATAATGAATAAACTAAATATAATAATATTTATCAATTTTTAGGGCGTGCTAAGGTTTGATTTTATGCAGAATATTACATCTAAATACGGGAATTTATATGACGAAAATAACATCAACGATCATACTAAATGTTTAAAACAAGAACTTGCAAAGTGGGAATGTATTATAAATGAAAAGCCTTGCGAAGAAAAATCTAAGAATCATTTGAAATGGCATCTAGCAAATCCTGAAGAAAATATGTAATTCTTTTCATAATATTCAAAATATCCGATTCTTTTTATAAGAACATTTTTTATATTTTCCATATGATTGGGAAATTAGTTATATCAAAAAGTTATATCACTTATATCACTTATATCAAAAAATTATTTATAAAACACTAAAGAAACTATTAACACAATTTCGTTACAAGATTTTTACTTCTTTTTTGGACTATCTTCTGCAGACTTTTGCCTGGCTGGAAGAGGTGGACATATTGTAATGGTTTGAAAACGGCAGATCGTGATATATGGAATAAAGTTTTTACTAATTACATGAAAGTAAATAATAAAATATTATTAGAATGTTTGGCTTGCAGTAAAAGTTCTGAAATTTTAATCAATTATTTAGAAATTATCACAAATACTGTAATAATTTCACAAATTTCAAAATCTTTGTATAATCAATTTCATCTTCAATTTGAACCGACAAAGCGAGCTTATGTCTTAAATGCTAATATTTTCCTTTTTATTCTTGAGAGAAATGCTAAATACATGCTTACAAGCTTATTAAATAATTACAAAAAAATAAGACACAGGTAACGATATTATTTAATAAAAATATACTACACATAGATGTGAAGATTTATTGTACGAATTAATTATAAACGTATTGTTTTACTTTTATAGAAAAGTCAAGGAAATTGTACCATTAATTGTTGTAATTAATAATGCGTATTCTAAGGGACAGTTGGATGAGGTAAATTTTAAATAAATCAAATTTTTATATTTAAAAAAATTTTTTTTTATTTATTTTTCGCTATAATTGTTATATATTTTATATAATATTTTCGGTAAATGTTTACTTTACGTTACATAGCTCGAAAAATTTTTATTTTCACACATGTTGAGGATATGTTGTAGAGGATATATTCCTAAGTAATACATCGTTTGAATTTTGTGGCGCTCTCTTTTCGTTCCTGAGATATGCAATTTTAAAGTTTTATACTTGTATTATCTTTTCGTTCTTTTCTAAATATGTTTATATTTTTGTGTTTACATTTCCCGAGGTCATCTTTTTGAATAACTTTCAGAAGATTTTAGCCGCTTATTGTTATTTATTAAATAGTTATTAACAAAAAAAGTTTCAAGAATAGAATATAATATATTAGAATAGAATATAATATAATATATTTTGCGACATTATGTATGTTTAAGAAGAAATATAGGCACACGCACGCACACGCACGCACACACACACACGCGCGCGCGCGCGCGCACGCACGCAGATCCATCCCACCGATAGCGGATGCATTGCGAAGAGTTCAATCACAATGAATATATGCTGTAAGTTGTAAAGCGAGGTTCACCTTAACTACCGGCGGAGTGGTTGCGGAAGGGAAGCCGAAGACCCCCCCCTTGCACTCCCCCGCGCACGCGCGCATGTGTGTGTGTGTGTGTGTATGTGTGCACATACATTTGTGATATTTTTCAAATGTATTAAATTGTATTACATTCTTAACGACATGGAAGTCACAACGAGTAAACGTAAACCAAAAAATATAAACACACAACGAAAATATGACATCAAACTGTATTGAGAAATGTAAACAAAAAATGTGAACATAAATAGGATATTACGAAAAAATGACATGAAAGTATGAAACTTCAAAATTGCATATCTCAGGAACGAAGAGAGAGCGCCACAAAATTCAAACGATGTATTATTTAGGAATATATCCTCTACAACATGTGTGAAAATAAAAATTTTTCGAGCTATGTGACGTAAAGTAAACATTTGCCATATTTTCTTATAATTCTGTTCATAATGATACTCTCATGTGTGACAGTATAATTATTAAATAGAAAATTATTTATTGATAATAATTATTAAAATAATCTGTTTTAGATAAAGAAATTTGTAAAAAAGGGACTGAAAAATTCAATCATTTCAATTACCGATGTTGAACAGAAGATAGAAACACGCAGTTCGGAGATCGAAAAACACATAAATTATTTTCGATCTTTATTCAACAATTGAATAACTAAATCTTGAAGACATTAACTGTTCAGAAATTAAAAATACAGAATGAATGATTGTAATAATATTTATAAATGTGTATACTTAATTATTCACTATGTCATATAAAAATTAATAATTGTTTAATTGTACTTAATCAATATAATATTAAAATTGTACAATATAATTTTATAAATATTGTATTGTATAATATTGTATAAAAATATTATATTATATTACAATATAATTCATATTATAAATTATATATTTATATATAATAAATTATATATTTATAAATTATATATTTATATATAATTATAGGATATTTTAGTTCAGTTTTGCAAGATCTACTTATACTTTTATTTTGTTGGGAGATACTGAAAACTCTGTATATAATTGAAGCGTATATTACAATATTAATTATAACTCGACTCTAAATGATGCTTCTTTTTAAATAGAAAAAATTTCGCAGAAAATATGAAAATTTTTAAAAGTATTGTTTTATTATTATAAAAGTTTTTTAAAGTATTGTTTTATTAGCAGCTTTATTACATAGTAAGATCAGATAAATACATTTAAACTCTTGTGTGCATTCTTTTTTACCTCAGAATATATTAAAATATTGAAATGTAAAAAAGTAAAAAAAATTTAATTTCTCTTTCTCCACCCTTGCTTTCATTTTTCCTTTTTAACTGGTTTCCATATTATAATAATAATCACTAATATGTTTCCATCCGAATCGTCCATGACAATTATATTATTGTGCATTATATTCGAATTAAATTTTGTTGTAATTGTATTTTTTTATGCACGGAGATTCTGAACATACATTTGTTTTTAAAATATCAAATTCTTGAATGAATTCTAAGATGATTTTTTCTCATGCAAAATTTTGCCCGGACTTTAGTTTTTAAATTATAAAGGAAACTATGTAATTAATTTCGGAACGAGTACGAAAGGTAGGCAGGGATGATGCGATATAAGCGATTATGTGGGGCGCTCGCCGCGATCAGCTGATCGGTATACGCGATGAGTGTAGCAATCTGTGTGTGTGTGTATTTTTGTGTATGTGTGTGTGTGCGTGCGTGCTTGCGTGCGTGTGTGTGTGTGTGTGTTGGTGCGTGCGTGCGTGCACATTCTCTCTCTCTCTCTCACATATACACACACACATTGATCGCTACACTCATCGCGTGTAGCAATCAGCTGATCGCGACAAGCGCCCCACGTAATCGTCTATATTCCTATTTACCTCTCGTACTCGTTCCGCAATTAGTTAACTATTTTCCTTTATAGTTTAAAAACTAACCTCCGGGCAAAATCTTTTGTATCTTGTATAATAATTATCGTACTGACATACACTTGATATTAATACGATTGTTTATTCGAATTTAATTGTTTCAATTAAATTATATGCTTGTATACATTTTACTAGAAATAAACAATATACAGGGTGTTAGTGCAATTTTCTGCCAAAAATAACCATAAGTAGATCTCTATAAAAAAATTAAAAAGTCATGTACCATTTTGAAAACCACGTAAAATTTCGAGATATTAATTAAAGAATATCGTCCAATACATGCAAGTATAAGTGCGATTATGATTCTGCAATTAATTTTCTCTTGCAAATGGTTTTCTAGAAAAATTGTCTTTAAAAGTCTTTCAAATAAAACTTTATACAAAAACGGAATATGAAAACTAAAAGAGTATAGGAGAGACCGGGAACAAAAGTAACAGCATCATGAATAAAATAAGCCTCCTACTACACAATATGTTGAACAATTTGTACCATATATTCAAACGCGAAGGTCCCGATTCTCTTCCTTTTCAGCTAATTGTTGTAGAACGATCGCGCCGGTTGCACATGCAGGAGTGAAATTAGTATATTTACATTATTCACCTAAGTATTTCTTGTTTTAGTTTTTTTGTATCCATGCCTAATTAAAGTGTATGTATTGACGTAATTATTTGCCGGTGTATAATGTATTCATAAGTTTTATAGTTGATTTGACTAAGTCTAGCATTATACTCATAATGTTTTTATTCTAAAAAATGTGTTTGGGGACGAAAGTAACATATTTCAATGCCTTAAAATATAAGGGCTGGTCCAATAATAACTGTATCAGAGAGGATTCTTATTACGTATGCCATAATTGTGATTCGGAATATTTACCAATCTCTTTTGTAAAAGTAGTTATCATACAATTTTTACACTTATTTAGAATTAAACTATTATTTAAACTTGAAAAAGTACAAAACTGATGTGATATTAAGTATAATTATTTTATGATATTGCTTATAATTATTTTGCTTAACGAAGATTATTTTTTTTAAGTTTATTAAAGATGATAAAAATAAATATTTATTTTATTTTTTATTTGAATATAATATAATACAAATTTATAATAAAAGTTATCTTGCTTAATAAAAGATTATAATAAAATTGTTGTCTTAAATTGAAAAAAGGTATATTTATTTTATTTTTCCGAAAATAAGAACTGTTACTTTCATCCCCAGATTATGTTACTTTCATCCCCGGTCCCCAGGACAAAAGTAACAATCAGCGAAATATTGTGATTAATTCATGTTTTAACATAATTTTTAACATAATTATTTGTAGGTCCATCAAGTTTTCAATCTAAAATCTTTATTTCAATTGGTGTAAAGAAAAGACATAGTTATTTTTAAGAAAAAATATGTAATTGTTAATTGCAAATTACATATTTTTTTTCGAAACAGCTATGAGTTTTCTTTACACCAATTGATTCTTCTCATTATTTTGTACATAAAAGTATTAAGGTAAAATAATCGAAAAATGAATATTTTACAAGATATTTTACGGTTTATGTAAAATTAAAAAATGATTTCAAGCCTCATAACTTGGAAAGTACTTAATGAAAACTAACTTAATTATAGTGTTTTGGAAAGCTCTTGAGATGAGCTACAAGAATATGCAATGAAAAATAGGGGGTTCCATTTAAGATTTCAAACTTGCCCCCCCTCACCGCCCAGGGGGAGGGATGGGGGGGCTGATTTTAACGTCATTGTACGTCCCCCTCGAAATGACGAAATTTTGATTCTAACCATTTTTTCGTAGTGTGCTTATTTTTCGAGTTATTTGGCTGCCTAAGTTAAAATGGGTCACCCTGTATAAGCAAAACATTTTATATTAATCTTGTTTCTTTTAGAAATATTCTAAAAGAAAAATTAAAAGTGCTTTTATATAATTACTACATACAACTAATTATATCATATTGTTGTCTGTATTTAATTAAAATAAGAATTGTATATATTATATTCAAAAACAAAATTGATTTTAAAAGCCAAAATAAACGCGATAGAAAACAAATATTTAAAACAATTATATACATATTTACAAGATTTATCGATATCCTTTATATCATCGGATTCAACGTAGCCCTTCTCCATAAGTTGTATGAGTAGATTCATAAAATCATGCTTGATAATATTATGACGTTGTCTATATTCCACATTTTCCCGAAAAAGTTTCACAAAAAACTCTCCTATACTTCGGTTAAAAAGAGGAATGGAAAAGAAATTCAAAATTTGGGGCATAAACAAAGAAAGAGCGTTCCGAAAGGTATGTACTTCAAAGACCTTTTTTCCCCAATATGAAAACTGATTATTTTTTTCCTCTATACAATTGGATTTGACTCCAAAAGCTGTTGACATAATTATATCCATTGTATATCTATAAATACATTTTCAATAAATTATTACGATAATATCAAAATACTTTCTTTATATATAATTTTTTAAAATAATGTTTGTATGAATATATATTACATTCAAAAAAAAATTTTCTTTTTAGAAAAAATTTCACCTTCCAAACCAATCTTTTATCTCGATTGAATCTCCTATTTGAATCATATTTTCCAGATTTTTCACAAATTCATCGCCGCACATTTTCATAATCGCAAACATTTGCTTTATTTTTCCTGAAGTAAAAGTGGGTGTCAACTTGACGCGCAAATTCCGCCACTTCTTCCCGGACAGTGCAAACAAATGACCGGATAGTACATCAATCTTCTCGTTGCAAAATACTCCGCGATCATGGAAATTCTTGAATTTCTTTGTTAGCACCATTTGAATAAGATCAGGATCAGTAATTATCAGATTTGGTTTAAAAAATGTATATATTCCAACGACACGATGTTCCTTATATTTTAAATAGACATCGTGCAAGAATTCGCCTGTTAAAAAAGTTTTTGTTCAATTCCACCAGATTTCGTTTCAAATAAAATAAAAAGAGAGAACAGAGTAAAAAGAAAAAGATATGAAAGATAATAAAGATTGCTTGCATAGAAATAAATGCATTATAGAAATTATAATATATTCTTATAATATATAATATTATAAGAAAATGTACTCCCCTATTGTTTTTTTTTTAGTCACTATGTCTCCAATATTACCAGTTGGCACCACAGGTTCGATATAAAAAATACCTCTTTTACGCCAGTAATTGAATAACACATATTTGTAATAAGTATACACAATAATCAAAACAACTATAAAAATCCCAATTAATTCCGCGATTAACATCATCAGTTTTTATCTAAAATAAATAAAAATAAGCAATTTCTTTATATTTGATTACAATCATAAATCCTATTATTTGATTACACAGACTTATAAGGGTCAGTTACAAAAAACAGAGTAGTATGTAAATTTTTACTTTTACATACTATATATATTTACATAAATTACTATATTTACATAAATTTTTTTAACGTAAATTTTCTTGTAAAATAACTTCATACTTGTATATCTCAACGAAAAAACCATGTAGCGGCAATCAAAACTGGATTAGAAAGGTGAGGACTAATACTATACGATGCCATTTGCACAAATATTTCAAAAAAATAGATTCTTTCATAATAAATTCATGAAGTTTGTCGAAATTGCCATTTTTGGACTATTTAACTATAAATTACTCGGAAACTTGACGTGATGGGGAAATTCTGCGGCCAGATTCGTTTTTAGCGTCAAAAAATCTATCAGTTTCACCTATTCCGCTTTTTCTAATTAACCAAACTTAAAATTTCGCAGACCTGTGCTATCACAAATCATAAAATCAAATTTGATTAGATTACATTAGAATAATTTCATTAGAATCATAAAAACGTGAAATATTGCGAAGATGTAAAACCAATAAAAAGAATTAATATATTGAACATTGAATTTATTATTAGAGAAATTAAAACCTTTGGTTTTCATTTTTTTTCTTTTGCGTGGATTATGAAAAAAAATATCATATTAATATAGAAAATGTTCTTTTTTTTATAAATCGGTTTTACTTTAATAGAATTTTAATACTTGATTGACTTAACTCGATGATAGTATTTAAATATTTAGAGATTAAAACTTAAAAGCTCTTATAATAAATAATATTTTTGCATGTTGTATTAAAAATTGACTTAATAAATAATCTATTATTATAAAAATATGCATATTCATTTGAAATATTTTTTAAATGTTAAATTTCAAAAAAATTTATGCAATTATGAATATTACCTTTTTTACACAAGAAACGTTTAAAATAATTTTTCCGTCAAAAAGGAAACCGATTCTCCTGAGCAATGCAACAGTTAAAAACAATTTATTTCTCATTTCTCAAAGTCTATCTTCAACGTCCGTCATTTTGTAAAATATTTTTTATAACTCAAATTTGATTTTTGATTTAAAAAAAATGTTCAAGCTTTAATTTGAATAGATGATAATTAAGTAAAGAGCACTAAGAGCCTACAAAACGCGGATGGCAATGCGTAAATTATTTCGAACATTAATTGTTCGCGAAAAAATTTTTTTGGTAAGAGCAGTCGCCCGGCAAGCGAAAGACTCGGGTTCGATTCCCGATTCAGCGACTTCGCCCCGATATTTTTCCTGTCTACATCTCTTCAGGGGGGTAAAAGGGGGTGTTATAGAAGTCTCAAACCAAGAGAATCTATAACTTGGCATATGTGTATATGTCTTAAAAATTTTTTCGCGAACAATTAATGTTCGAAATAATTTACGCATTGCCATCCGCGTTTTGTAGGCTCTTAGTGCTCTTTACTTAATTATCATGTTGTTAAATACATAGAGCCGTATTATTTACCAATTTATTTAGAACTACACGTCGAGCTGAAATGATCGTGTTCTCATTATTTCCACAGATTAATAAAAACGGACAGGAGAAGTGTCGGTGTGGGGCTGAATAGCTCAGTGGTAAGAGCAGTCGCCCGGCAAGCGAAAGACTCGGGTTCGATTCCCGATTCAGCGACTTCGCCCCGATATTTTTCCTGTCTACATCTCTTCAGGGGGGTAAAAGGGGGTGTTATAGAAGTCTCAAACCAAGAGAATCTATAACTTGGCATATGTGTATATGTCTTAAAAATTTTTTCGCGAACAATTAATGTTCGAAATAATTTACGCATTGCCATCCGCGTTTTGTAGGCTCTTAGTGCTCTTTACTTAATTATCATGTTGTTAAATACATAGAGCCGTATTATTTACCAATTTATTTAATTTGAATGTTGTTTCATTTTTTTAAAATGATGATTTTTCGCTGATTTATTGTTATTGAAACATGTTAAAAAATTGTGCTAAAATTTAGTGGCCCGTATTTTTTGTATGTGAATGTAGATATGGATAACATGTGTAGGTCTAGTGGATATCTCTGGTAGCTACTTAGTGGATATAGATATAGATGTAAATGATATATGTATATATATATATATATATATATATATATATATACATCTATTAGTTATTCATAGAAGGTATGGACCCCATAAATATTTAGATATTTATTAGATATCTAGTAACTAAATTTTTCCGAGTGGAGAATATATGTATAGGAAATATAATAAAAATAAAAAAATAATTTATATATTTTTTTTAAGTAAAATTTGAAGAAGTAAAACATTTTACCTATATATAATTATTAGAGTTCAGATGTCAGTTCCGTTTTCCTCACTCTAAACGTAGCGGCACGAAAAGCAGTACCGTTTACGCGCCAGTCTAGTGATCTAATGTAGCAAAAAAGGTACCGTCCCGTAGAATACAAATTCATATATATGTCAATCAGCTTTTTGACAATATCAAAAATTATCATATATCGTTGCATACATTAGAGTACATTGATTATCTGACGTACATTAGCAATATTTTTAAGATACGATATATTATTAAGTATGTATAAGAGATTATTTATAGATAGACTATATTTTGACGACGGTACAATTATTTATGATGTACAAAATTATCTACGATGATTGTTTGACCTACATTGATTGACGTATGCATCACCAATATTTTTAATTCCTCATACAATGTATTAATACGACATGTTATTAAATATGTATAAGGAATTAATTATAGATAGGCTATTTTGACTACAGTAAAATTATCTACAAAATTATTTATGATGATATATCATTTATATAATATCCCGAGAAAAAATGAGTGTAATATATTCAGATATAAATATGCGTAATTTATATAACATATAATAATGTCCAAAAATTGGCGCAATATGATTTTAATTTGTATGATCATATTCGACTAGATCGTAACCTTCTACATACTGTTAGGTATGCCAACAGAGATGTCAGTTTATGATAGTTTCTTGAAGCGATAAGTTCGCGATTGAATGCTTTTGGTATTAAATCTGGTATTAAACCTGGCTAATTCAACTAGTAGGATAAGACATTAAATATATAATAAAATATTTATCTTTCTTTCTTTAAATGTGCATATAAAATTGTGTGAAGGAACAGGTAACGCTTCTATTTTATAAAAGACATTTTCTTTCATTTTTAAATTGACTAATTCCTATTATTTTAAGTATTGTTTTTATCTTTTACATATATTACAGTTAACAAAAATAAAGACATTTATGTTTGTATTGTGATTGCATGTTCGAGCATTTTGAAATATAGAATGTATAAAATCTATAAGCAAAATTTCTTTTTAACATTATAAAATTATTATGTAATTTTATATTATTGCTATAAAATTTTATCTAAGTTATAAAATATTATCTAAGCTAAAGCTATAAAATTATCTATCTTAAAAACGTATAATATTACCTGTGTGTTGTTTTTAAAATATTTTTTATAATAAATGTATAGGATATGTTAATTTGAATGTGTAATGAACGAATTAACAACAAATAATAAAAAATTAACATTTTATTCAAAAAGATGTGTTATAAAAATATTAATATAATTGTTTTTAGAATTTTGTTCGAATATTTGACACAAATCGTTATATTATCAAAAATTTTAATTATTTGATGATCTTTGATTTTCGTTCAATGTTTGTATGTGATTAATACATTTCTCACTTAAGAAACAAATTGATCTTAAAAATAACATGTTAGTAAATATACAATCCATATCACGAATAAAATCCCATTTTTGAAACTATTCCTTCACTCCTCATACATTTTAAGAAAAGATTTTATAAGATATATATATATATATATATATATATATATATATATATATATATATATCTTATAAAATCTTTTCTTAAAATATATATATATATATATATATATATATATATATATAATCTTAAAATATTCTTAAAATATATATATATATATATATAAATATATATATATATATATATATATATATATATATTTTGGGTTAGAAACTAAGTAATTGAGGATTTTTTTTAACAAAACAAAAGACAATTTTTTATTTAACAATGTATTGCCTATTTTTATCAAACCTCTTGCTATCTTTCAGGTAGCATCATAATTCCATGTTCATAAAATTTTTAGTTCTTATCGACAAAAAACTGAACTATGTGCGACTTGACATCATCATCATTATTGAAATTTTTACCATTCAAGAAGTTTTATAAAGCTCGAAACAAATAATAATCCGGTGTAAGGTCAGGACTATACGGTAGATGCATCAAAATTTTCCACTCAAGCTCTCTCAATTTTAGGCGGGTTGCCAAAGATGTGTGAGCTCTAGCGTTGTCGTAATGGAAGAAGACGTCTTTTCTCTTTGATCAATTCTGTTGATTCTAATCGCTTTTCTTGAATTGCATTGTTCAGTTTAATTAATTATTCAATGTACACATCTAAATTAATCATCTGATTGTGTGGTAAAATCTTAAAGTGCACAATTTCTTTGTAATCTCATCAAACTGACATGATCTTCTTTTAATGAAACCAATTTTGACACTGCCGTTCTTTTAAAGCTTCGTCACCATACACGGCACATAACTTTTTAATTGTCGAGATGTAGATCACGTAATGACGAATGAACCCGTTTTATTGGTTCACTCCGTTAAATTCTAACTGGAATACCATTGCACAAACACCTCGCGATTTGCGAAACACGCGATCAATCCGTTCCATGATGAAGTATGACTTGCGGCCGCGAATTAGCGGCTTAATGCGCGTCGAAAATCAATACTCATACCATGCCAAGTTGGCTTGCCATTAATCGGCCCGATTCCACGTGAACACTTTAATATTGTTACGCCTCGCGAGATTATTTTGCCCTCATTTGTTTTCGATTAGAGGTCTATTTACACATATCCGTGACGTATCAATTCTGTATCAGTTCAATTCCGTGATTTTCCGTCAGTATCAGTGATAATAAATATCGTTCCTTTGATTTTAAATGGACGTATTTACTCATGTCCGACGCAGTATTGTATTCGGACCGTCAGTTCAGTATCCGCATAGTGGCATTGTGTTTATTGCGAACGATATTTTTGCTTTTTGACGGATATATTATAACGGTCAGTAAATTTATTTATAGATAAAAAGAAAAAATTAATCAACTAATGCAGTGGTCTCTGGGAAAAAATCTAAATAAGAATAGCATAACTTAGGCATAAAAAAAACCACAAGGCATTGATGTCAAATGCAAAAAATTGTTTAAAATATTAAGATAAATTGTAAATCAAATAATCAATTACAAATTATTAACAAGAATTACAAATGCACGCGCAAACGTTTCGATCTATTCCAGATCCTTCTCAATGCTAACATTATCGAAAATACAAAAAAAAATAAAAATTTAAATGTAAAGAGAAACAGGTCGCTCGCAAATAATAACATTCGCAAATTTAAATATAAGGTCAACGTTCAAATTAATGAGAAAAGTCGGCGCAGATAAAATATTCATCAATATAGCGGAGAATACAATGATAAAATCGAAATTTGTAATAAAGAAAAATGAATTTATAACGCTCGGATGACAGAATATGGCTGTGGATATGCCTACACGTCGGCATGTTACTCATCTTTATTTATAGAGTATTTGATGCCAAGCAGATCACTTGGATCAAATCGTAGATTTAGATGAAAGTGAAATATTATATTATATATTATATGTAATTTTACAAATAATTTTAGTATTGTTAATTTTTTGCTTTAACTTATGCCATTTTTTACAATGGCGTGATAGCTTAATCTTAAGCTATCTAGCCCTTTATAACTTTTTAATCGTTGCAGCAAAAAAATTCCTTTTAAAAGCAATATATAACAAAAAATTAACAAATTAATTCCATAATTTATTGTGTTCTGATAATTTGGCTTAAATAACTTCATATACCTCAATTTATCACCGATACCTTTCGATCGTTATGCTAATTATTTCATCAATTATTATCCAAATTATATCTAGATTGTCAAATAGAACGATAAAATAGCACGAAATATATTTTACTCTAAGTATTAAAATAATAATTATTGTCCGTAAAGATCATAACGGTCGAAGTGATTTAATATTTTCGAAATCGAAAGTTTTTTTTTTTTTTATCGAAGTTATTTAATATTTGAATTTCTATCGCTTAATCAATTCATAATTAAATTTATACATCGCACGCGCAAAATATGCATTTCGAGATCTATTTTCGCGACGTAATTTTACGTATTATTTAATATATATGAAATTAAGTATTAATAATTTATATCAAATTATTTTTTAATGTACTTACCAAATCAATCGCGTTTAGAAGAGAAATTTAAAACTTAGAAAAAAATTATTTATTAAACAATTGATGTAACACGGGACCATTCGTTATGCTAATTACTTGGATTTACTCGATTGTTTTACCGCGCTTTTCCGAAGTCAAATTCTATAATATTTAGTTTTGCATTTTAAAAGACTGACTTTTACAGCAAACTAAATAAATAAATAATAGCGTGTAATTAAGAAAGAACATATTAATATTTTTATTATAATAAATTATTATTAATTAAATTATTTATATTCTTATTTATATTATTTATATTATTAGGGAAAAGACTGAGAGGTGTCATGGTCCGCTTCATTTCTGAAAGCGCCTTTTTTTTAATACGTCTTTTATAACCATTAAAAAGAAATTAACATATATATGTTACTCTCTGAGAACATTCGTGGACATTGGCTCCGTAGTTCATGTCCACGTTTCAGGGATCATCTAAAAGCGGGCCACCTCTCTATCTTCTCTCTAGTTTTAGTATGTATTAGAGTTCAGTGTCTCTTGTTGGAAAATGCCTCATATCTCTCATATTTACGAATATAAACAGAATAAGTAAGACGAAACTAATAAATAACGTCCATTGCAAGCTTTCTTGTTTTATTAAATATTCTTTCCAATAACTACAATAACATTATTACCTAACGAAACAATTATTTTTATTCTGAAATGTGTGAATATCGACATCGAAGATATAGTGAGATTTGGAGCCACCTTGTTCGAGATTCCAAGAGTTGATACAGAGACAAGGGTTTGTGGAGACAGAAATATTTTGAGAGGTATTTGTTTCTTGTTTATTTTAATGTATTCTTATTGTTTTATTTTTAAAATTTTTTATGTTAATTTCTTTTATATTTATTTTTAATTTTTTTTATATTTATTTTTAAAATTTTTTATATTAATTTCACTTGATTGACTTTCGTCCAATGGGATTTTTTTCATGAAAATTAATAAACATAAAATAACGACAAATGATTGATTTGTTTAATATTCTTAATTCCAATGAGGGACAAATAATTTTTTTAGTAATCTCGATTCCTTTGAGATTTAGAATATTAA